AAAAAAAGATAGAGAAGAAAACACGAGATTACCTAACCTAGTCTAGCTTAGTATAGGTGAAAAATTACAACTCATAAAATTTCTCAAAACATATACTGTATAGACAATAAACAACTTCCTAGAAATAATCAAGGAAAAACTTATCAAATTTATACTTACTCTCAATATCTCTTTCACATATTTATTTCCAAAAAAAAAAAAATTATTCATTCTTCACAAATGCATTCTTTATAGATTCATTTGTATTTTTACCCGGGCTGGTTAATTATTAATTTTTAATTACGTGTTTAGGCGCCAAAATCCTGATAAACTACAATTATCACTTTATAATAAAAAAAGATATAGAAATCATAAAAAGTTAAAGAAAAGTAAAAAGAAAAAAAAGAAAGTTTGTCTAAATGAGACCCGGCGTAACTATAAATAGTAGAGTAAAAACAACTCAATAATTAAATGATAGAAACTCTATTTAAGAAATAACAAGGTACCTTGGGTAATATTATAATTAATTTAATTAATTGGTTAAATTTGTATAAATATATAGTAAATATAAACAAATTACTGTTTGACGTTCTAAACTAAAAAAAGAATCTCGGAATTGTATGTATATATATATATATATATATATATAAATATAAATATATATATATATATATATAAATATATTATATAGTGTATGTATATATACATATTTATATGTATGTAATATATTATGTGTATTTAAATATATGTATATAGGAAATAAGAAACTGCTAACTAAACAGTGATTACAGAGAACATTTTGACATTGAGAAAGTAAGGGAATTAGAGTAAAAATAAGGAAGGACAGAAATTTTGTTTTGTTCATTTATTATTACTATTATTATTATTATTCTCCTCCTCCTTTATTGCTCTGATTGGAGGAAGAAAAATTCAAAGACTTTGAACAAAGCAAAATAATTTTAAACGAGTAAATATTGATGTTAAGAGGAAAGGGGAGCCGAGTTTCTTTAATAATTTGGTTTTGTATGAGATGAATTAAAGTATCTCATTTTTATATCATTTGTACGTACAGATAACAGCAGCTGATTGGACTAGGTATAATATATGTGTATTAGCACATTCAGATATACTTTTATATATATATATATATATATATATGTATGTATGTATGTATTTATATATAGTTAAGTATGCATTTGTGTGTTAACAGAAGAAAAGATACGAAAGACTAATCAGTGTTGTTACATGTTACGTTAGCTTATTAATCATAGGATTACATATATTGAAGTTGTGTTTTTAGTTGAGAGTACCAATATACATATAAATTTGTATGTATATATTGGAGTTTACTCTGCTAGAGAAAAAGAAAAAAAAAGAGAATATATATATATATATATACATATATATTTATACACGTAATATAATAATAAAAAAAAAAAAAAAGGAAGATACTAGAGTGAAATTCTTCCTTGATTATAATAATACGATTTATGCATATCTACGTTCAAACTAAGCAATATATAAGTGCATATATATTATATATTGTTAAAAACATTATATAGATCTTGTTCTTTTAAAGGAAAAGAGCAATGACAACAAAATCAAATATAAGAATTTCCGACTCTGGCCTGGAGATTGTAAAGTTCTCCAAAGGAATACAGGTCCAGGCAAGAAATAATAGAGGTACTCGTTATTTAAATTACAAACTTTTGATTAGAAAAATACGTTGGGTATCTGAACAAGAAACTCAAGAAAATTGGATAGAAGCTCAAAGATATGATTTAATCTTTAAGGATATACTGCTACGAGATATGAACAGAATGGATGCTATGTATAGTCGTGACATTAATTATATCCGAGATCTAATGTGCATTTTATCGAGAGATGTTTGGAATCTATCTTTGTCTTCTCACAATAAATATAACCAAATGAATATTAGACATGGAGATCATTCTGATAATAATACTACATCATTTATGTTCATTTCATCTCTTTCAAATATGGTAAATCCTGGAATAGAGATATCAATTAATGATAAGCGAGTAATGGAATGGCTATACAACTTATTAGAATGTTGTGGCAAACTCGCAAAATTAAGATCATATATTATTTGGAATAGTATTGCCGTAATTAAGGTTTTAAAAAAGAGAAGAGGTAAAGTGTCATTAAAAAGACATATTAAAAATCCACTAGATGCTTATAATCTGTTAAATTCTCATGAATTTTATTTAGGTATTACATTAGAATACCTAAATAAAAATCTTAGAAATTTAATGCTTAAAGTATTTAGAAAAGATATGTTTTCAGAATTTTGTCAGAAGTGTAATAAAAGAACTTGTGAACCAATAAAAAGTATATGTAATCATATATTATGTTGGAAATGTATTATTAATGTTGATGAAGTTTTTTATTTAGATTCTAATACAACTAAGAATGATAAAAACTTAAATTGTAATAATACAAATACTGGTACACCTTCTTCTTGTACTTCTGCAGTTTCAAAACAATATGATTATGAGACAGATGGATCAGTAAATGCCTCAGATCAGACAACCGTTTCAACTTCCGTAACTTCTTCATATTCTTTTAGAAGGATTAAAAATAGACCATTTAAAAATTGTCCAGTCTGCCACGCAAGGTGGAGCAGGAATCCAGAATCTTTACAAGCTGAAAATAAATTTGTTAAGTTATGTATTCAACATTATTTGAATACAAAATCTTTAACAGGGATTTCAGACATTGACACAATTATACAATCTTCAGTTAGTAATGTTGGCTTTATTTCTTCTGATGATGAAACAGAAGATGAATTTAACATAGAAGATGATACAGAACTTTTAGATTTTGATTTTAATTCTAATTCTAATTCCAACCATAATTTTGAGAAAAATAATAGTGGTAACTTCATTAAACCAGGATACCAACTTGATAAATTTGGTGGAGATAATAATGAAGAAGTTGGTATTAATTATAATGAAACTGGTAAAAATACACGTAATAATTTCCACCAAAACCATGTCCACATTAATAATAATGTTTTGGAAAATAATAGTAATGTAGATTCTACAAAAAATTTTAATATCGGTACCTTAGATACCGGTAATATGGGAATATATAATAATAGTATGTCACTTCCGACATTTGATAATATTTTTGGTATGCTTTCATCTCGTCCAAATTCTTCAACAATTTCCACAATAACATCATCTAACCAGAGTTTAGATGATAGTTTGAGTAACTCAGGTGGGAATTTTTTCGGGTCAACTTCCAAGTCTAATATGAATTCTAATCTGTCTTTCCCTTCGTTTTCGTCATCTAAGTCAATGGAGAACAGTGTAAGTGGAATTGGAGGAGGGATTGGAGGAGGAAGTGGATGTGGAATTGGAGGTGGGAGTGTAGTTGGAAGTGGAGGTGGGAGTTTTACGATGACCAACAATAATAGTATGAGTGGTATTGGTTATTTTGAGGCTATTCCGAGTCCACCACCAGCTCCAAGTTATAGCAATTCAAAATCCTTAAATTCTGCCAACGTTTTTACGAATGGAAGGCAGAGATCTGGATATGCTTTTGGGGCTGGTCATGGTACTGGGCAAGGCCAAGGAAATTATCTTGGCAAAAAGGAGAGTGAATTACTAACTAATAATTCATCAGGAACTGTTAATATGAATGCTACTGCAACTTTGACTTCAGTCTCTGGTATAGGAGCAGGGAGGTTGGGTTTGAAGCCAACCAAGAATTTAGAAAGGAGTAGTTCTGGAGTGTCTTATCAACATAATAATCACCACCATAGTCAATACTATAATTTACAGGGCCTTTTAGGTACACAAGGAGTAGTTCAAGAAACTCAAGGTATTCAGGGAGGAGAAAAAGAATTTGAAACTGGAATGGTTTCAAATAGGGTAAATAATATCCATTCAAAAAACTTAATGAATTCAAAAGGAGGAGGAGGTTTTTTGAGTTGCAGTTCACATAATATTAGTAACAATTATGGAAGTGGCAATAGTAGTGGAAATGGCCGACTTCAGAGCCAACAATTTTCATCCAAAAAGATTCAACAAAATAACCACTTAAATGGTTTTGGTCATAATCATGTACATAATTATGGTTGTAATGGGTACCATAAATATTATTATGGTCATAATTCTGATGTTTTAGGCCATAATTTTAATCATAACCACCACTCGACTCATTATCAAAACTCTATTCAAAATGTTATCCCTCAACAAAGTTTGATATCTACTGGAAGTTGCTGTAATGGTAATTATATTCCATCATTTCAATCAGGTTTAGGTTTAAATGTGAATAATCGTAGTAATAATAATAATAATAATAACCAGCAGATATCATCTATTTATACTGATAGTTTGGGTATTGGTAGTTTTGAGAGTACAGGTTTGAACAATAGTTACTCCGGATTCCATTATAGCAGTCAGTTTAGTGGTATGGGCGGAAATAGTAATAATAATAATAATTCAAAATTTAATAATAATAATAATCATCATCATCATCATAGTAATCATAACAGTAATAACAGCTTTAAGCTATCCTTAAGCAAAAATATCAACTCCTTTAATAATGGAAATCATACATTTCCATCAAACTCAAACAACAATAATAATAATAATAGTGATTATCACCGTAAAATAAATAATGGTAATTATGGAGAAGTTGGTAACGACATTAATTATTCAAAAAATTTTGATTTCACCAAAACTTGTCATAATATCAATAAAGAATTGAACTTAGGTAAACAGAGCCACTGTAGTCCAAGCTTAATAGGAATCAACTCAATCCAGCTAAACCAACATAAGCAAAAACAAAATTGCTCTGAACGTTTAAATAATTACCAAAACTATTTGACTTTTGGATGTTCAGATGAAGATGAAGAAAGATATTCTGAAAGTCAATGTAGGAGTGATATATTTGCATTTTCTTCTTCTAATAAACTAGATGACAGATTTGGGGATCAATATCACAATATTTTTGGAATTGAAAAGACTATTAGAGGAAATGGTGAAAATTGTGACACTGGTATTGATATTGATTTTGATATTAACCTTGGTCTTGAAATTGATATTGATCATGGAAATTCATGGATTAATAACTCAAATATCATAAGTTCCTTATCATCATCATCATCATCATCATCTTCTTCTTCTTCTCATTCTCCTTTATTAAATTCAAAAACAATATCAGATAATAATAGAGTTTGTAATTCTAAAAACATTAATAACTCAGAAGATAGTGATAATAATAATAATAATAATAATAATAATAATAATTGTATTGAAGATAATAAAGATTTATTAGACAATACTAATAATAACGAAACTTCAAATAATAATGACTTACAAAAAATATCATCCTGTAACTGGAATCCTTTCACAAGTGAATATTTAATTGGAAATGGTGATTCATTACAACAATATCTCTCCAACAATAATAGTAATAATAACAATATTGATAGTAATCTAAATTCTTTTGATTATAACCTTAATGAAGAGATTGTTTCATCTGATTCAAAGTTACTTGATTTATTTAGAGATTTTGGTGTTTAATTATGATATTAATATTGATGGCAATATTCTAAGTTAAATTTCATATTAATATTTATATCAGATATAACCAAATATTTTCTTCCAATTTTTCAATATGGTTTTTTTTTTCTAAATCAAACGTTTTGTTTAATATTATTACGTGGTAATTTGATTTCCACATGTTTTTAATTTGATTGCATGTAATTTGCCTCTAATATGATAATTTATAAAATGGGGGGTGGTTGAGGAGATACATATGATGCATGCATTAAATTTTACAATTATGTAGTTTGGTAAATCTAATATGATAAGAAAAAAGGGAGGAAATGAAAGTAATGGGAACAGAAAAGGGAGAAGATAAAACAAGGAAAAAGAAAGGAAAAAAGGAAAAAGAGAAATACTGGGGAAAACTAGTGAATATGAGTACTGAATTTTAAAGTTTGGATATGATTTTAATAGAATAGATTAATTTCAGTTGGGTTTAAGAACAAAAGGAAAGATGTATTAAGAATAAATGGTAAGAGAATTCCTCTATTTTTTATATATCCGTTGAATACCTACATAATTTAACGGTAATACAAATACCACTACTGTAATAATATTCGTGCATGCATTGCTATTATTATTATTATAAACAACCCACCTAGTTTAATTTTCTAAACCCGCCAATTTTCCATTTCCTTGTACTTATAACGCAGGCACATATGGAAGATTTATCTTCCTAAACACGGTTTTTAACCTACTATTCACCTTTCTAACTATATCTCAATCTAACCCAATTTTCGTACTAAGTTACAAAAGAATCACAGCGCATGTTTGAAGAGAAAGTTAAAGAAAGATTAGGACTATCTAAAGTTTCTAATGTTAATGTCAGTGTTAGTATATTGTTGAACTTGTGTACAAGGAATGCCGAAAGATGCTTAAAAAGCATAAATTCATATTGTATTGTGTAAGTTAAAAAAATAATTGAAAAAAAAAAAAATTGTTAGCTTTTTTTTCCAAAAGATAATGCACACAAAAGGCGGTAACTTGAACAGCCAAATAAATCTAGTCAAAAATTGCATGAAATAGGCAAATTAATAAATGAAAGAAATAGTAGAAAAGAGAAAAAAAAAGGTTTGAATGAAAAGAAATCCTATAATTTATTTAAAAAGAAATAATATAGGTAGCTTGAATTATTACTGTATGCTAATTTATGTACTTGAAGTTGTTTGAGTATTCTCCTGGTTGTTTTGATTTGCAGTTTCCTTAGTTTCCGTGCATCCCCCTGTAAGTGGTCTCTTCTTCTGAGCAGGAAAGAAGGAAGAACTACCCGAATTCTCCTGAATTCTTTGTTGTTTTGTGGAATCTGATGGGTTTGTATAAGGTATGGAGTTTCCTGAAACAGTTGTTTGTGTCTCCATTAAGCCTGAGCCTGAGCCTGATCCTGATCCTAGGCCAGAGCCCGAACCCGAACCTGAACCTTGGGTTTGAGTCGGGTTGGAAGGCAAATGGGGAGGTGGCGGAGGGGGTGGTGGAGGAAGAGGTTGGAAGGAGACAGGTGGAGTTGCTGTGGCTCCTGCCCCGGTAGTGTCTGTCATGCTAGATGAGTTGTTAGTTATAACAGTAGCAGTATTGTTGGTAGTAGCAATAGATGATGTAGATGTAGTAATTGTATTGGAATTGCCCAAAGCAGCAGTTGTAGCATTATCACTGGTAACACCACTAAAAGTGCTTTCAGGAATAACATTATTAGAATTCAATGTATTCAATGTGGCTGTATTAATACCAGAGGGTGAAACAACCAAAGATGAGGAAGATGATGAACCAGATTGTGTTTGTGTGTTACCGCCAACTCCTTCAGATTCCATTCTTAATATGGAAAGTTTTGCCAGTTTCAAAACAGTGCTAACCAGGTTTTCAGTAGCTTGTGAAATGCTTTTAATCTCCTGAGAACTTGGTTTGTAACTTTGGGAGTTGTTATTACTATTACTGCCATCCTGTGAGTTACTGGAATTGAGATTGCTACTTACACCAACCTGAATCTGTGGTTGAGTTTGAGTCTGAGTTTGAGTCTGAGAGTTTAGTCTCTTCAACTCATTTTCCAAGCGGGTACACTTATTTCTCTCCTCCTTTAGCTTTTGGTTGGTGCTCATGTAGACCTTCCTGAGCTGCTCCATCTGCTGTTTGGTTAACTGAAGCTCTTCGAATCCCACATGTTCTTGTTGTTTCTCAATTTGTAGTTTTTCTATCTCTTGAGTTTTAGTTCCTAAAGTATCTTTTAGCTCTTCATTCAAAACTTTTAGCTTGCTAATCTCCTCTTTCATCTGAGATATCTCATTTGGGTTCATATTTTCATAGTTGAGCAAAACTCTATTATATTGCTCCTCCCAAGACCTACTTAATGCTGACTTTTCCTCACAGAGGGACTTTAAATTCTCTACTTGAGCTTCAAGCTTGGAGATCTCGCATCTCAAAGGATCTGACTGCCTAGATTCTTGTTCTAATCGTTTCTCCAAGTTACTGTGCCTCTCCGTTGCTTGTATTAACTCCCTTCTTAACCTGTCATTTGATTCCCTTAAAGTTACCAGTTCACCAAGACGAATTAAAGTGCTCTCATTTGCTTCCGCCTTAGATGCAAACTCGGATGCTCTTTCCAACTCTTCAGTTAATCTTCTTTGCAAAACCTCATTCTCCTCACGTAAAGATTTCCTCTCAAATGTAAGACGTTGGATCTCTATCTTGGACTCATCAAGCTTTGTATCCAACTCCTCTACTGAGCTTGTCAATGTTTGTACTTTTCTCATCAACAATAAAGAAGCCGTTACTGATGATGAATTTGTTGATGAGCTCCCTCCTGACCCACTCGCTGACTGTATGGATTGCCTCCTTTCATCAGAAACCTTTCCGTTACCCTCTTCACCATCCCCTCCCTCTACCAAGGAGGCTGAAACCATTGCCATATCCAACATGGATTCAAATCCACTTGGAAGCTGATGCTCAGTTTTTAACTTATTCATCATCTCTCTCAAGTTAATGTTATCCGTCTTTGCTGTTTCATACTTTTTAGTATAAGATTCCAACTGACGTCTCAAATGGAGTATGTCATTTTGCATCTCCATAACCAAATTTGTGTTTTCATCATCTGATTTTCTTGAGTTCTCACGAAGAGTTCCCAGTTCCTCTTTAAGCTCTATGCATTGCTTATTCATATTTTGAAGTCTTTCTATGTCTAAACTGTGCATCCTTACTATATTCTGGTACTGTCCTCTTAGATCCTGCTCCATCTGTCTCAATTCTTCTGTCTCCTTTTTAAGAATTAAATTCTCTTCTGTTACCTGAGATAAGTTCTCTCTTAAAGTTGACTCCCTTTTTGCAATTTCTTCATCTATTGAAGAAATTCTTAATGTCATAGCTGATATACTCTCGTTCAATCTGGTTAACTCCTTTTGACTCTCCTCCTCCATTTGCTTTGCCTCCTCCCTCCTTGACTCTAATTCTCCCTTAAGATTCTCTTCAATTACTCTTAACTCTTCTAAATCTCGAGTTTTTGTCTCCAACTGTTTCTCTACAGATTGTACAAGTTCTTTCCAGTAATTCTGTAGTTTTCTACTCTCTTCCAACTGTACACGTAATTTAGATACCTCAGTCTCTATATTTGAATGGTCTTTACATCCTTCATCCATATCTTCAATACCAATATTACTATTAAAACCACTTATATTGATACTGTTTCTTACTGAGCTCTTTATTTCAGAACTTTCTGGAGAAGATGTTGCTAATCCAAACACTCCTATGGAGCTTAATCTGTTTTTTTTAGTCTCAACCTCGTTCTCAATTTCAGTCAAACGTCTTTCTAGATTCTCTTTTTCATTCTGTAAATCTTTAATCTTAGATTCTAAACCTTGATACCTATCATGTTCTGCTCTTAATTGTTGTCTCAACCTTTGAGATTCTTCAAACTCTCTCTGTAAAATAGCATCCTGGCTCTTTCTCATACTGTTGATCTCCACACATTTACCCTCTAGTTCACCCTGTAATTGGCTAATTACATCCCTTTGCAAAGCATTATCCTGACTCCTCTGCTTAATCCCCTGTTCAATATCAGATCTTAAATCTGAAATGCAAGCATTTAGACTAGAAATACTTTGCCTCTGATGCTCATTCTCTCTTTTCAAATCCATAATCTCAGATTCTTTAGAACTTATTCTGTCCTTAAGCTCTTGTACTTGAGAATCTTTTCTATCTTGTTGACGTCTCAAATCATTAAGTTGCATATAAAGTCCATCCCTCTCCTCAAATAACTCATCCAGACGTTTTCTGTTTCTTTCTCCCATACTCTCCATATATTCACACTGAGCTTTGTAACGTGATAACTCAGATTTACACTGTGTAGAAGATTCAATCTCACTTGTAAGTTTCTCACTTAATGTCTTACACATCTCCGTTACTTCACCCAATTGCTTTACAAATATATTTGGATTCATAGTAGGATCACCAACAATTACCTTCTCAGATTGAATATTACCCTCCTCTCTTTTTCCTTCATCATCCTTATCTATACTTTCCTTAGCCAAGTCCTTCTCATGCTTCAACTTATTATTTTCTTCCTCCAACTTAGAAATCAATGCTTGGTATTGAGAAACTAACTCATCTCTTTCATTATGAATCCTCTCAAATTGGTCTTTGTAAGATGCAATATCAGATGTTAACTTTCTTATTTGAATCTGGCTATCCAACTCTATCCCCTCTATAAGTCTCGAAACTTGAATCTTCAACTGAGTATTCTGTTCTATTATATCTGAATACATTTTCTCAACCATAGTTTTATTGGCTATCACATTTTCATATATTTGTTCTCGTTCTCCAATATTTTCCGGTACCACATATTCAAGATCCCGTCTCATTTCTAGATCTGTGGAAAATTTACTATTTTGATTTTCAAGGTCATTTCCAAAAATATCAATTGCACCTGTATTGTTAATTATTCTATTGAAGTTTTGAGTAATCATTTTACATTGCTCTTCATATATTTCCCTTTTTTTAGCTTCATGTTGCCACAAAGTCTTTAATTCAGATACCTCATGAATAAGTGTCCGTCTCTCTTGAGTTAGAGATTGGATCTGTTGAATGGCAAAATTGTTTTCTGCTTGCAAAGACTCAAACTTTTCTCTTGTTAACTCAAAATCAGGAACTGTTACTCTTAAATGGTACTGGAACTCTTTTAAATCTTCCTTTAAGGCCTGATTCTGATTCCTTAGCTCATCCATACTTTGTTGGTAATCTTCCAACTGGGTTAGTAAATCAATCAAAATCCTCCTTCCTCCGGAAGTAGTGGTTCCACTACCTTCTTCTGGGCCATCTAGAGTGTCTTCTACCTTTGAAGATGCTTCTCCTAAAATATATGTTTCTCCGAAAATCTTTACAAGGATTTCCAAAGCTTGTTTATCTGTAAGTTGCTTACCACCAAATTTATTTAACCCAGTTGTTTGGCTTTGTTCCCTCAAAGCTCCTCCTAATGAACCTCTCAAAATCTCCTCATCCCGGTGATGGCCTTCCTCTGTTATACCAGATCGGAGCTTTTCAATCTCTGATTCCAAATTTTGAGCAGTGCTTATACTCATATCTAATAGGCTTTGAACCTGTTGTACTTGTTCTTCTTTTAGTCTAATTGCCTCCTCCTTTATCTTAATTTTACCCTCATAGTGACCTTTTGCAAAATCTAAGTCAGACTTTACTCTCCTAAGTTCATCACAAGTCTTGGAATATTCCATCTCTAACTCATCTCTACTTTTTTGTATCAAAGCAATTTTATGCTCAAAATCCCTACAAGAAACTTCCAAATCACTTATCTTCTTTGTTGATTCCAATAAAATATTGTTCTTAGAAGTATAAAGCTCTTTAATTTTGTTCTCCATTACTCCAGCTTCTTCTTGGTACTTTTTTAAAGAATCTTGCAAAGCATTCTTTTCTTGTTCCAATATCTTACTTTCATGTTGGCTTCGAGATGATATGATCTCTGAGTCATATACTTTCTGTTGGAATTCCAATAATTTTTTCTTACTTTTTACTAGTGATTCTTGCAGTCCACTCAAATTCTCCTGTAACCTCTCATTCTCATTCCTTTCTTGAACTAGCTGCTCTGTTAATACTGATACCTGGTTTCTCCTATCATCTCCTCCTCCCTCGTCTAAACTTTCCATATAAAACTTCTCCTCCAGTTCTTTTATCCTAAGTTTCAACCTCTCATTCTCCTCAATCAAGTCAGAATTCTCTTGGCCAATCCTTTTATCATCTTTTTTCTCCACCACCAACTCCTTCACTGAAGAATCCTCCTTATCCAGTGTTTTTAATACACCTCCTTGTTCCATAATCCATCAACCAGTATTCCTTTGCTACTGCTCCAAACCTATTGTGGACCCTAATTATTCCTCTATTTTTATTTTTACTTACTTCTTTTTTTCTTTAACTTTTTTTTATCTTTGTTCTTTCCACAATAATTCCTTTTTGTTTTGGCGGGTTTTTCAAGATCACATTCGATACCCTAATTTATGTGAAATTAGTGTAATTAAGCACAAAAACAAGAAGAAAAAGAGGTTAGAATTACTTTTACTAATTTTTAACATATTTTGAGTATTTAAATCATATAAAATCTCATATTTATTCTTCTATTATTGTCCAAAGCTACTTGATTCATCCATATTTTCCCTTTCCACAAACATTGTATCTTCAATCTATTAATTTACTTTCAAAAATTCTCAATATATTTCTCTTTGATTTTAACACTACTCTAAGTAACTTAAATCTACTGAGAAAATCTTTAATAGGAAAAAAAATTGAAAAGTAATTATTTATATAGCAGCAATCAAATATCTATTACAAAACCAAACTATAATTATTCTACTTTATTAACCCTTAATTCGCATTACTTATTGTTTCTTTTTTTCTAAAGTTATAGATCCAAGATTATTACCTTTTTTATAATTCTCCTGAGAGTTTACCTTTACAACACCATCACAATAACTATCTTCAACATTATTTCCAAATTTACTATTCCCTTCATCATATCTTATATAAAAAGCTATGCAATGAATAAATACAAACAAACCCCAAACATATGGGCCTATCTCCAAGTATGGAATATAATAAGGAACCATTCTACTTTCCAAATGTAAACATCTTAGTACTAAGGAAATCATCATTAACAAAGACCCCACAATCGGAGTTATTCTTGAAGCAATTGAACCATACATACTTTTTCCCCTACGTATCACACATTCAGAAAATAAAACAGTCTGAAGCAATAACTCAAAGTGAATACATACTTTCAAAAGATCCTTTTCTACTTCTCCACAAATAATACTTTGACTTAATGTAAACTTTATTCCATCTGAATATGATCCACTATTCATTGTATATATTCCTAACACATAAATTGAAAATGTCAAAGTACATGCACATAAGGCGCCAAAAACATGCACAAAATTACGTGTATTTTTTGAATCACATAAAATTGACTTACAAAAAGAATAAGTCCCCATGGAGCGTGACAAAGAGGCAGAAATTGGAATAACTTGAAAAAAAATATTCGAATTCTTAGAATATTGAATCGAAATTTCACTTAAACTTTCTCCTATACAATAGTAAAAGAGCCCATGAACTATATGCCTTCTCATACTTTGTATCATATTAAACTGCTTATCTAAATCAGGAAAAAGTTCTAAAGCTATTGTAAGAGGTTCTTTTTTTTGATATCTAACATGAAAAAGTTTCAAAGTTTCACACATATTTTCTATTTGAATTTTTAAATTTGAAATCATATAAGGTATCATTAAAATCATTCCTCCCAATGGTCCTGCTCTGAATAGTATTAGCATCCATGAATATGGAGTATCCAACCAGCCTTTCTCATGTTTATTCTTTATTGCTAAAATATATAGTACTGACCCCATTAATATGTATAATCCCAATCTTTTCTCATATAAAGTTGAATCTGAAGTCTTATTTATTACTCCTGTGTTTTTATTCTTCTCATTCATTTTTGTTTATATTAACTCAGAATACACTAATACATGCAAATATTCTTTTTATTTTGAAATTCAAAATTTTATAGCACTTCCCTTGTACAAATAAATTAAATTCAATACTTTATAATAATCAGAAATACTCCACTTTATTCTTCTCTATCTTCTATTTCTCCCTTTCATTTTTTTATATCTCCCCCCCACAATTTCTCGAGCATCTTGATTTTTTTTTTTTAAGTGTGCCATTTGCATTTACCCTGTCAAATTATTAATTTTTTTTTACCCCTAATTATCTGATTTGTGGACCAAATTGCCCGCCAAAACATGCATTTTTTTTTGTTATTTTCATTAATTATTAAAAAGATTAAAATAATGAATTAATTTCTAATCTATTTAAATAATATTGGTATAAACAAAAGCCATACAGAAAAGAAGAATTACCATAGTTATAACATATTCAATCTTCCAAATTCAAATCTACCTCTTAGTGCTTTAAATAAAATAATATATTTCAAAAGCATCTATTTATTCTAATATTGTGAATATAATAAAAATTTTAGTGCAAATTGTAATGAAATTTGAATAGGAAGAACCTAAAAAATTATCAAAACATTAATTAATATGATTGGGTATGGAAAGAGAATATTTAAAATTACTTATACAATAATAACTTATTTATATTTCCTTTCAAATATTCATATTATAAAATCCCAGGCTGAAAAAATGCCCCACTTTGAACTTAATTCACTCGAAACTATTGGAAGAAGTTTGAAAAATACCATTTTTGTAGATAATATTGAAAAAGTTAATTTTCCATTAACAGATAGTGGATTTTCACCAGGACCCAAAATTTACTTAAATAAACAACTACTCCAAAATACTAAAGAAGTTAAAAAATTGTACAAAACATTAAGAAATATGCTTACCAAATTTTACATTGAAGAGTTTGGAATTATCCTTACATACCACATGTCTCAAATTGAAGAAATCAAGTTTATAGGAATAGATTCAGATGGTCATTTTAGACTGACAAATCATAAACCAAAGCTTAAAAAGAAAAAACTTCCCAAGTTAACCAAAAAAATGATCAAGAAAAGCAAGTTCTCAAAGTCAAATACCTTGGAAGAAGTTGGATTCATCGACAAAGAATTTGATTCACAAATTAAAAAAAATGAATATTCAACTACTAACGAAAACGAAAAATCACAACTCGAATTTTTGAAAACAAGTCCCATTTCATTTCTCAATATGAAAAATTCAAATTCCAAATTTATAACTTTTGCAAAAGCAAGAAGTATTAGAAAATTACATATTATCAGCTCTAAGGTTAATAAACAAATTGCAATATGTAAATGCAATTCTAACCATAAATTACACTTGAAATTGATTGTCTTGGCTCAATCTCTTTTATTTGTAATTATTAATTCTATTGATACAAATAACACACCTTGGTATTCAATGCCTGACTTTATTGCACTACTTCTTGAAGATATTTTGAGAATTACCAGCATAATGAGATTTTTAGGACCAGTTTTTACCAAATTTAAAAATATTAAAGAGTATTATAAATATTCAAAGAAACATATCAGTCGTAGTGAAAAAAAACACTTTTTAAAGTTCTTTAGTGATAGAAAGAATAGTTACCAAACAAAATTCCTACTTCAAATACTTGGAATCACAATTAGTTTCTTTGGGAATGTCTTTAATTCTTTTATTGAAGATTTTAAAAATAGCCAATCATCTTTTGTGGATTTAGCAACCCAGATTGAAATTTCAAATCCAAACAATTACGAAAATACAAAATCCAAAAATAAAAACTTCTCAAAACAAGATCTTGTTTTAATCAGTGAATATATTGAGAGGCTTCCAAATAAAAATAACTGTATTATTTACCCAATGATTGAAAATACTTCTTCTATTAATAAACCAAATAAAAGGTCAATATTTTCATTGTGTTAGAATTCTTTTCTGAGTTATTAACTAATTATTATATAAATCAAAAATCCAAATTTTTATTGTATTACCCTTTCTCTTTTATTATTATTTATCATCTTAAACTTTTTATATTGAGAAAAATTGCTATTATTTTTCATATCAAAATCCTCTTTTTCATGAAATTTATTAATATAACCCTTTTTATTTTCTTGATTTACTTTATAGCCTAAAATTAAATTATTCTCTTTATATCTTACTTGTTCATTTTTTTGTTTTTGTAATTTTCTTTTAATATATTTAAAACAACTAAGTAATATATCATTTAAGGTTAATATGTCATTTTTTACAATAATTGATATTTTTTTAACTATTTTTGAAAAATTTGTAATTATTTTTAAAAAAAATTTCAAAAAATAACTTTTCTTGACTTGAGAAACCAATTTAATATTAACCATTTTACCATATACTCTTAATTTATACAAACAAAAGTATTTGGATCCATAACTTGAATGTATTGTAAATCTCACCTTTTTACAGAAACGATTTGTTGAATTAACCTGAAAAATTTGAAGACTTTCACCATTTTGAGGATAATGATACATAAAATAACCATATTTGTATTCTTCAAATGAACTTCCTTCTAGGCACTTTACTGAAAATTTTCTTGGAACAGTGTCTCCATTATCATATTCTAAAGGGAACAATATATGTTCTATCCCCACAGATGTTACATTAATTAAGGTAGATAATTCTATATCTATACTGGTACCAATTTCAGAAAAAAAACAACTCCCAATAGTTTTTTCTTGGTTTGATTTAATGAGTTGATTTGGTTCAAAACATTCAGAATTGTAAATAGGAATATTCAATTTTCCAAACTTTTTTCCAGTAAAAAATTTAAAGAATTTATATTGAAAATATTCTAAACTCTTAATAATTATTGATCTGTCGTCATATTTTTCTGTCTCACAGTACTGATTACTTTTTGGGCTAATTACTTTTCCTCCCATACTTGATTGGGCCCAATCAACTTGATTATATCCTTGCATTTCCAATTGAGTTCCAAGTAACTTTTTAAGATAAATTTCGATTTCAGAACTTTGAAAAGTACTAGTTGGGGAATTTAGTATTGGATTTCCTGAACCAAAAGTTAATATTTCTTCATTTCTTTTATTCATTGACCAGATCATACTTTTTAATACATCTTGTGCATCATCAATTAATTTAATTTCTTCAATAATATTATCCAAATCCTTTCTTAATCTTAAATTAAATCTTTCATGTTCCGTTAAATTACTAAGAACTAGTTTTATTTGACCTTCTATTTCTTCATAAGTATCATTGTGTATATAATTATTACTTGTTTGTGTTATAATATCATTTATTGAATTATTAAAATGTTTAAAGAAAATTGAAGTATCATTTTTGACAGATTTGATTTCCTGTACGAGTTTTGTATTTAATTGAATAATTTCATTTTCAATCATAAATGTCTTATTTTTTATTAATTCTTGAAAATCACTTTCTAAATGAGTTTGATTAATTCTAGAAAATTCATTAATATCTGCTAAAATTGCAATTTTTTTGTTTAATGCAATAATTTTTTCCTCAATATCATTAATTTTTTGCTGGAATTCAACAAAATTGGTTGTCTCATCATAATAATCCACAGAAAATAATCCAATTTCTTTTTGTTTAATTAGATTTACAAAATTTTGTTTTTTGATTAATTGATCAAATAATTGAGTACCAATAACTTTGATTTCACGGTAATTTGCTAAATGATTAACTGAATTCCAAATAATTAAGAAGAATGTTCCGATTATAAGCCATAAACTAATTAATTTGATAAATATATAGAGGTATTTGAATATATTTTTTACTTTGCGATTTAACCATAATCTAAAACTAATTTTTTTTTTTGAAATAAAATTCATTCTGGCTCTAGTTAAATTATTATTTACTTTCATATTAGTCTCAAGCTTTTTTGATCTTTTGTTATATGGATTACAATTAACTTGGATTTTTTTAATATTTGACATTTTCCGATTTTCAAATAAAAATCTTTTTTTATATTCAGTATCAAAAATTCCAACAGTTTTCCAAGGATGAAAATTCGGTTTTTCAAAGCCATTTTCTTTTTCTACAGGAATTCTTTTCTTAGTATTTTTGTTCTTCATACATATATTCAATAGGGTTAATATTTCAGAATTCTTTTTGTTTCATTACTTAAAGAGAAAATACTCCATTTAATTAACTTCAAATTCCATTTAAATTATTTAATATATTTTAACTTATCCAGTATTTTTCTAATTTGTAGGTTTAACCATCTTTGAGATATTTTTTCCTCCAAATATACAAAAAAAAAAAATAAATGGTTTATTAAAGTTTGGTGGTAATTTCAAGTTTTAAATATTTCAGGTTAAATGTAAAAACTCATAAATTTAATTTTTATTATATTGAACGGTACATTTTTTTTGAAAATACATGATTTTTGCAGTTGTCATACTTGCATGAATGACATGCAATTACCCGCATATTTGTGGCCAATAAACACGTAATTGATTTTAAATTATTAAGAATTAAAAACGTAAAGAATGTTTTGTAAATCAAGTTCTTTGATTCAAAATTACAAGATTACAATGAAAAAGATAAGAAAGAAAGTGAGATTGTTGTTTTATTTTTACAGAGATGATTAAAAATTCGAACGATTAAATTAGAGATGTTTAAATAGACTTAACTAATATAATGATATTAGAATATTATTTTCTACCCTAGTAATTTCTCTACATGGATATTTTTGCTATAAACATAATAATTGATTACTAGTGAATAGGAAAAAAACATATATTTATATATAATATATATTTATATATATTATATACATGCATGTACATACATGCATACATATTTTCTCTAACCCACTCATGTGGACAAGAATAATTGAATTAAAAATGCGAAAAAAGCCTTAATAGCATTTTTGAGGACCTGAAAAAAAAATTTGGTTAAATTTCGATAATTAGGATATGGTTATTGATTCAATGTTTAAAGCAACAAAAAAATGTCACAATTAGAAAAACCGACAACAGCCCAAAAAGAAAATGATTATAAAAAGACACAATGCACACGTATAAAATTAGCTGGGGAAAAGCTGTGCATGTAGTTTAAAAATAAAAAATGGAATAAATACAAATTTGAGTAAATTTTCTTCCATATTAATCTTATTATAGCAGCATCATTTTTCGAGATTATAAAAAAAAAAAACAAAAATTGTCAATAAAAAAAAGTTAGACATATATGTAATAAAAATAAAATAGTGAGGACAAAACGTTGATGTATGTAATGGGGTACATGGAGACTTAATCCATTTGTGATGACGTAATGTCGTTAATAATGTATGTAGATGTGTTTGCATACAGATTTAATTTGGGTAATGAGGAACAAGGTCTATAAATAGTGTGAGGCTTAAACAAAAGGTGGAAGAAAGCAAATAACAAGGAGAAAGACATTTTTATTATTTTGAAAAGATAAACAAAGGTAGGTTTTTTTTTTAAATAATAAAATTAGGAATTAAGTGTAAATATCGAATTAAGAGGACTTCAATATTGGGTTATTGAATAACCAAATATAAATTAATTAAAAAATTGTAAAGACATACCGATAAAGGAATATAGCCAATATATAAGACAATAATTAAGAAGTTGAAACAAGAGAAAGTAATTGCTTTTATAATAAAAGAAAATGAGATCATTACTTTTAATTTTTGGAATTGTTTTATGTGTGCTTGCTAGTTCAAAAGGAGTAAATGGAGAATTATATTTTGCATCTTTATCAAACTATGGATGCTCTGGAAGCCAGAAGAAGATAGCGACAGCTTTAAAGGCTCAAGCAGAAAAAACTCCATTCTCTCTCTTAGTTAGTCCTGGTGATAACTTTCCAGGTGGAATTGATTTCAAGAATTGTTTTGAGAATGTTTATTCAGAAAAATCTCTTCAGATCCCATTATTTGCATCCATGGGTCAAGCTGATTGGGATAATGGAAATGCTTACGGACTTTTGAAGAGAAATAATGAAACTTATGATAGCAATAGTGATTTTTTCCCAAAATTCAGCTTCCCAAATTACTTCTATCATTATGTTGCACACTATACTGATACTTCAAATGTATTATCTAGAAGAGATGGTACTGTTCTATTTGTATTTATTGACACTTTTATTCTTTCAAGTTCTTTCCCAGATCACAAAGTTTCCGAGCAAGCATTTCAGAATTTGAATGCAACCTTACATTATGGACATAAACATCATGATTTTACTGTTGTAGTAGGAAACAAATACTTGGCTTCTTCATATTCAATTGATTCTTCATTGAAGAAAGTTCAACAACTCATTTTAGATACTCATGTTGAACTTGTAATTAGTGGTCATAATAGAGGAACGTACAATTCCACTATTGAAGGAACTACTTTCTTGAACTGTGATTCTTATTGTTCATTTAAAGTTGATGGTAGTAAGATGGTTCCATATATAATTCAACATGGTAATCAAGTAGAATTATCAGCAATTAATACTCAATTGCCATCACCTCTCTCGTTCCAAGGTATTGCTGGTGACGAATTACCTGCATTAGAGATGATTGAATTGTCATTTAAGAAAGGAGCTAAACATTTATCACGTAATGCTTTCCTTAAGACTATTGGTACTGTAGGACTAATGATCTTAGCAGCTTGTGTGGGTTCATTGATTGTTAACAGAAAGTAAAGAAGAAATTTTGTAGAGCTGGAGTTTGATCTCTCATTAAGACAAGTTTTTTTTTGAGAGCATGGTAACATTATTAGTATAACTCAATAGTTACAGTATGGAATCAACTATATAATATAAATGATATTCAAACAATTAGATCAAGTAAGAAATGGCATAAGTTGAAAATAATAATATTATTACTCATTATTATTATTACTATTATTATTACTATTATTATTATTATTATTATTATTATTAGTTTTTAAGGAAAAGAACAATTAATACATTAAGTTGCTAATGGTTAGCATTACGAAGAAGTGAATCAGAAAAAATACAAATTATGAAAAAATGGCAATCATTTTAAAAATGTTATCTTCGTACTCTCCTTATTGAATGTTACTTTCTGTGAGTTGTTCATTTTGGGACAATGGTGTGGATTATAGATAGTATATTGAAATACTTTAAGTAAAAGAGATGAATAGCACAGTTAATTGTAGTGATGAGGAAGAGTTAATTATTTTCATTTAAAATTTTAATTTTGTTTTTTCTTGCATTTAGGCTCTGCATGCACATTACGTGTAAGACCTACCCCATGTTATATTGATTTACAGGCTAAAATAGAAAGTATAGATGAGAGTTAGCAAAGACAGATATGTTTGGAGAATCATGTTATTGTTTCTAATTGAAAAAAGCTATAGTAATGATATTTCCTTCCTTTTTATGTACAAATGACAAAAAGAACTTTTTTATTTCCCGTAAAGAATTAAATAATAAATATAAATTCCTATTCTTAAACTATAATGTGTTGGGGGGAATATTGCATGCAAAATATAGTCCCCGCCTTTTTGTGGTATTTATTTAAAGCGTAGAAAAGTAATAAAAATGATTTTAAATAAGTAAATACAAATATATATAAATAGTTGTAATTATAGAGGAGATCTGTGGGTTAGAGAAAAGGAGTTCCAGAGATGACAGGTTCAATGTTATTAACGTCAGAAATTCCGACCTGGTACATCGTTCTGTCATGATTAACTTGTTTCTTGATAATAGAAGAGAACTTATACCCCCAAAATATGTTGTTAAGTTTCCAAGTTTTTCTGACTTCTAGATTCTTCGAGGTTCTATTATCGAAGAAGCGGAGCAATACCATGAGTTCAATAAGATGTCCTTGATTTCTGAGATGATTAATAGTGAAATTTTTGAGAGGTGAATTGGGTTGGTTTGAGTGTATTGAAACAGTTATTGGAGTTTCCATAAATTCAAGAGGGACATCAAGTTTGTATGAGGTAATTTCCGTGATAAATGGACCATTATCAGTGTGAATAATAATGAAAACTTTAAGATCAGGTGAAAAGAATGGTTCTTGGGAGATGTTAAAGAGTCTAAATGAAATAATGAATGGGCAGTCCTCACAGGTGGTTTCAGCTGCTTTTGTAAAGGTATATGAGGTTATAGGTGGGAGATTTAACTGAGTAGGCGTGGCCAGGACTTCTTCAGGTGGTGTACTTTTGAATCCAATTCCACAAAGTTCTTTAGAGAAACAAATTGACCATTTTCTAGAAGTTGAATCTGAGAATTTTGTAAAAAAAATTCCAACAGTTACTGAATTTAAGATTGAACCACTGATAACCATTATTGGAGTAAAGTAATTCGTAATTAAACAACTTGGAGATCTTGGTGAACCATATCCAATACTAAACATGGTTTCAACAGCAAAAAAAAAGTACTCTACTTTTCCAAATTTGTCACTCCCAATACAATTGGCAGCATCTCCAGACGTGATAATAAAGTGTATCAATGCTAGAATAATGGCAAGAAGAATATATATGAGAAATAGAAATAAAATGAAATTTCCCCAACTCATTGCAAGCATAAAATGAAATCTATCGTGCAGACAAAATTCAAAGAACTGGCTAAACCTATCCCAGTGGTGCATAATATTTAAAGTTCCATTTTCCATTAACATATTTTGAGTATATCCGCTATTATGTGAAATTAAGTCTCTTATTTCATTTTGTTGGCTATTAGCAAGACTTATATTACTTTGATTACTACTAATATTACTTCTTATTTGGTTTCTTCCATTATCACAGGATAACTGGTCTTGAGTATAAGTTTTTAACAAAGGTTTGGAAAGTTCAATATTCATCATTAACAGAATAGATACTTGAACTTTCAAATTCTTTATAGTTTCTTATTTATTAAAAACAAATATTGGGAGGTAAACGGAGCATATCAAATTCATTTAGAAACCACTAGAAGCCCATTCCTTCTTTTATTTTGGGAAATTTCCTCTTCTAATTCAATTTATATTGATTTTTTTATTCCATTTTAGATAATTTTGCTAGATTAGGTATTAACAAAATCTCAAAAGTTACCGCCAAAATTGTGGGGCCTGCATTTTTATCGTCATTTCCTAATTAGATTAATGGATTGTTTCTTAAATCAGTAAAAAAAAAAAATTTGCAATTAGGCGGGCAATATTGGCCACATATGGCGGTAGCGTGAATAGTGGGGGTAAATATATGATAAAAAATATATATAAGGTAACAATTAAAGGTATATTAAATAAATTAATTTAAAATTATATATAAAAAGTAAATGATTAATAAATATAGGGGGTACCGCAAGACTCACTCAAATTTTGAGAGTGTATTGAGCAAAAATAAACAGCCAAGAGAGTTAATAAGAGGGGAATCAGATATTTTACCACATCTGGATAAAGCTCAGTATATTGTGAAAAAAAATTAAGAGAAATAAAAACAGCATTTTACTTTTTGGGATTTTAATAGCGTTTAGTTTTTATTGAATCGAAGATGGTAAGTTGTTTCAATGGTTAACTTTGTATCTTCTCGAGTATTGATCATTGGAGAAGTTCCTCGAATAAAATAAATAAGCTTTTCAAAGGAAGTCTCTTTATTTTTTTGTTAACTCGGAATGGTATAATGAACCTATTTATTTTGAGTTCATCTTTTTACTTCAAATTTTAAACTTAATCTTTCAGACAAAGAATACATCACAGTCAGCTGGAAGTGGATCCAATATTGGAGCAGCAGGGAAAAGTTCTATTGCAAGATCAAGTACAATGAGGTAAGTAGAAAAGAAATGATGAAAATTGAAAAAACTAATTCACCTTTTTTTTTTTTTTTTAAACTTTTCTCCTATACTAGACAACGTCGTGCATTGGCATCTTCTGCATCTAGTAGCAGAGAAAACCTTGCTCAGAATTTGATGAGCTATTATGTTGATGATACACCAGGACTCAAGCTTGGACCAATGACAGTTCTTGTAATGACTTTGGCATATATGTCAATAGTTATTGTGCTTCACATTCTTGGAAAATTTAAGGAGAAAATCATGGGATAAGCATAATGAATCATAAGTAGGGAGTGAATAGCTGGTCGGGCTTGTAATTCACCAAGTATAAACACATACTTCAAAATTAGTAACGGATATAGTTATCTCCACAACTCAATGATTATCTTTTCTTCTTTGCCAAATGCAGGTGATTTATGATTGGATTTTAAGTCTGGTGGAAGATATTATTCGATATTAGCTACGACCACAAGTTAGTAATAGTTAAAGATTACAGCTTTTGCATAGTTTCCCCCTTAAGAAATTGATTATACTTGTTTAAAATATTACATTCCTGCCTAATTAGAGCTTATTTTTAACCTAGAAGATACGGGTTATTCTTGATGTACTAGTGATCTTTTACTATTCCTCTAGCTAATTTAGTCGAACAGGAAATCTCTCCAGTTATATAGACAAATAGCACTATCTAACAAGAGGAGTGAGTAAAGAATATACAGAGATGACAAACAACAACAAAATGGAGCTTTTTTCGTCAATCCATGTTGGCTAGATTACAATTTAATCAGGTGTGGGCTGGGAAATTAAACAAATAAAAATAATCGTTTTCCAAATTTATCTTTTTATTATGCTTTATCTTTATTATTAATAATTTAATTTATACACTTAATACTTTACAAAATATTTACTGTGGTTGACCACTTGAAGATCAACATGCGCGCCTAAATGTCAGGCGCCAATAATTATTAATTACATGCAAAATAATAAATACACGAATAGTAAACATAACAGGTGGTAATATACGATTATATTTCAAGTAGTAATACATTTAAGGGATTCGGAGGAAAACGTTCTGAATATTTAATTAACTAAAAATACTGATAAATATCGGAAAAATAAATATGGCTTGCACTAAGAAAGCAAATTCTTCAGTAAAAGCTTGTGGATCAAAGGTAAGTAATTAAGAAGGCAAATAATGAGGCTTGAATGATTTTGGTTAAAAACAAAAAGGGAGGGAAAAAGTGTTTAAAATTGATAATATTAGAAGGTTTGATTGTAAATGTTTGGAAAATGTAAACATTAAAATATACTCAATAATATTGATATTTGATCATTTAAAAATTGAATTAGCTCTTAAAGCTAATTATAATATTACCTTAGGTATAAAGGAAGAGTGAAAGAAAAAAAAACAGCAGATGAAGAAGATTGGGAAAGTCTCAATATTATTGCCTTACATTCAATTTAAGAATTTATAGACTAATTAACTAAAACATTTATTTGTTATGATTAATAAACATTAAAAACGATAATATTCTAACATTGTTGTTGATTTCTCAATTTTAGATGAGTGGTTGCTCAACAGATTCAAAGAAGTCTAGCTGTAAAACTGCTTCCAAGAACTGTAATGCAAAGTCAAGTAAGATGCCAGTAAAGGAGACTCCAAAATCTGCCTCTTTAGCACCTTCAAAATCTTGCAAAAGCTCTTGTTCATCAAAATTATCAGTGGCAATGAGTAAGTCCTCTTCAAAGCCTAATCTGATTAAAAGAGAACAGACAGCTACAAAACCCGTTGTTAAGAAGACAATAACCAAAACTAGCAAGAAGGGAGGAGAGACCTTAAATAGTAAGATCGTCAAATCTAAAGGATCAGGAGCTAAAACGACTAACAAAATTGTCAAGAAAGGTGCTTCTTTGAGTACAAAAAAGGTTACAAAGAGTGAAGAGGCAAAAAATAAGATTTTGGATAATATTGTAAAAGAAATATTAACAGGAAATAAGAAAGGAAAGTCGGAGGGTACTGTAAAGAAAGAGGTTAAAACTGTGAAAGACAATCACAAAGAAAAGAAGACTGCTGCTGTTAAAAAGACCAAAACAAAGCCTAAGCCAAAAGCTTCATCACCATCTTCTACATTGAAAAAACTACCAGCTTCAGCAACTTCCTTAACTGCTAGAAAGAATGCAATGAAATGCGATACTAAGAATGTGGGTGATTCAAGTTTAAAGACTCCTACAAGGATTTCAAGGCTTTCATGCTCATCAACACCAATTTCATCTTTAATGGGTAAAAATGATTTTGATTCAGATAACGGAGCAGCTAGTGGAGGAACTATTGGCGACTTAATTAGGACTCCAGTACATTTAGTTTCTTCAGCTTTTAGAAGAATGACAAAAATCTTCAAGAATTAGTTTGGGGATACTTTTTATTGAATAGTATATATATCCAGGTTTTGGTTCAATCTGAAACCATTCATAATATTGACCTATTAATTAACTGTAATTGAAGAGAAAAAAGAAGAAAAGATTATTTTTGAATTTTTGGTTATTTTCTATGCAATAATAGATGATTAATGGTTGTTTTAAAGTTGTCATGCACATGGCGGTAAAAACATGCAAATTAGGGATTATATTAAATAAGAAATTTTGACAAATATGTAGAATTCGTTTTCTTCCTGCTAAGTAATTTAAAGAGTAATGGTTGAATCTTTTAGATTTTTGTGGGAGAATGATTTGACTAGTAAGGATTTTAGGTAGAAAATTAGTTGAAGTATGGGGGATTAGTATGTGTGAGAAGGCCGATGTTTAGTTTAAAAGTTTGGGTTTATAGGAATTTTAGGGCTCGAGGGATGATTTTTGGTGGCCACATTTAATTCCAAACAAACTAATTTATTTGTAGAAAAGGATAGGGATAAGGGGATCGTATTTACAAGAGTGAAAGAACCAGGTAACGTTCAACATAGAGGAGAGTGGGGGAGAGGGGGAAATGAAATGGACGATATTAGGTATTAAAATAAGTGCATTCGAATAGGTTTTTAATGAGTTTCAGAGTTCCCAATTTGGATTTCTTAGAAAGAAGAAACGATGAAATGGTATAGTGACAAGGATAATTGCAAAGTTTAAATAGGTTCAACATTGAACCAGCGATTTAAGATGAATAGTAGTTCACACATAGTCACACAAAGTTTTTAAAATATATATTCACGTAACTCCTAACAATAAAGAAAAAAATGTTTATTTCCAAGTAATTTATTAAATTGGGGGGTTTTGGCGCCGTCTCGGAGGCCGGTATGTGTAGCTTTGGCGGTAATGAGCTTTTTGAAAGTGCAAGAAAAAGTCCTATAAAAAAGTGAAGAGGGAAGAAGTGAAGATTGTACATATATTTATATTTATATATACATTTTATATAAAAATAAATAAAAAAAAGTAAAGTAAAACATATATATATAATATGTTGGCAAAACCATCTCAAGATCAATCAATTCATGGAGAACGACAACATGGGAGCGATGTGAGGGTGAGTAATTTGACAGCAGTAATGTCGATAGCGAACATATTGAAGTCATCATTAGGCCCCCAAGGGTTAGATAAAATGCTTGTCGATGAAGTAGGTGAGGTAACTGTGACTAATGATGGTGCTACAATTTTAAGTCAGTTAGAGGTAAAGCACCCTGCAGGCCGGGTACTGGTAGATTTGAGTGAGCTACAGGACAAGGAAGTGGGGGACGGCACAACATCAGTAGTTTTACTGGCAGCTGAATTACTAAGAAGAGGAACATCCTTAGTTAGTAATGGATCTCATCCTTCAAATGTAATTTCTGGTTATAAACTAGCTTTAAAGGAGTGTGTGAGATATATTTCAGGCTCTCTATCTATTAATGAAACAATAAGTGAGGAATGTTGTCTAAATGTTGCCAAGACAGTCTTATCATCAAAACTAGCAGGAGCAGATGCAGATTTTTTTGGAAAACTTGTAGTTGATTCTATTATGACGGTAAAAGCAACAGACCCCTTAACTGGAGCTATCAAATATCCAGTAAAATCTTTAAACATATTAAAAACTCATGGTAAAGGTTTATTTGAATCGTTTTTGGTTGAAGGGTACGCCCTTTCACATACAGGAAGAGCCTGCCAGGGAATGCCAACATCTGTAAAGAATGTTAAAATTGCATGTATAGATTTCCCTTTGAAACAATACAGAATGCAAATGGGTATTCGTGTTGAATTGGAAGATCCAAAAGAACTTGCAAGAATTAGATTAGAAGAGAAGGAAGTTATTCATAAACGAATTGAGAAGATTTTGGCTACAGGTTGTAATGTAGTATTAACTTCAGGAGGTATAGACGATCAGTGTATGAAATACTTTGTTTCAGCTGGTTGTATTGCAGTTAGAAGAGTGGAAAAAGCAGATTTAAGGAGGATTGCCAAAGCAACAGGAGCAACAATATGCCTAACGATGGCTCAACTGGAAGAATCTGAGGAATCTTTTGATCCTGCTTATCTAGGGGAATGCCAAGAAGTAAGAGAAGAACGCATCGGAGATACTGACTATATGATGTTCCTTGGATGCAAAACTCACAGAGCGGCCTCAATTGTACTAAGAGGAGCAAACGAGGTTCTATTAGACGAGCTTGAACGCTCTATTCATGATGCTTTGTGTTCTGTATCTAAGCTCTTAGAATCCAGTGGCTATGTTGCGGGGGGAGGAGCAGTGGAGGCTGCCTTGAGCATTTACTTAGAAGACTTTGCACGTACTCTTGGGTCTAGAGAACAACTTGCGATTGCAGAATTTGCTGAAGCGCTCTTAGTTATCCCTAAGACTCTTGCAATTAACTCAGCTAAAGATGCAACAGACTTAGTTGCCAGACTTAGAGCTTACCATGCAAGCGCTCAACAAAGCCAGCTAAATAACTATTCTGCTTCTAAATTAGCCTCTTCCGAACTTTCAACAGTGAGCTCACAAGAACAAGATAACTACAAGTACTTTGGACTTGATTTAATTAATGGAACTGTCAGAAATAATGTCCAAGCAGGAGTTTTGGAGCCAACTATTAGCAAATTGAAGTCCTTAAGATTTGCTACTGAAGCCGCCATCACTCTTCTCCGAATTGATGACTACATCAAAGTAAAACCTGTTGAAGTCCGACGAGAAGAAGAGTAAATTCTATCCACTGAAGCTTAATTCGTGCCATTTACCCTTATTTCAACCTAACAAACATATTTAAGAGATATTCAAAGTGAATTTTACTCTTTTTAATTCAGGCGCCTGCCTAACAGACCAGGTAACCCTTTTGAATGTAACGGCTCTCCCCACATCCGGAAAGGCGGCAACACTATATTATTGACAACTATTAGTGAAATACTTTAGGTAGTTCTAGAATATCACTAAGTTTATATTATGAAGAGTTTTCATCTTATTCGTTTTGATTGACTTTTCTTTCAAACAGACATTTTTCTATGCAGCTAAAAGGTACGTACATAGTCATAACTCCTAGAGAGAATTAAGCGGGCAACGCAATCAGAAAAAAAAAGCGATTAATAATTGTCGGAATTTTACTCTAAAAGCGTTAATTGCACTTGTCCACATAAAAACCGCCCATGCAAGAGTCTGGGGAGATATACATTAATGCATGCATTGGCAAGTCCCAGTAGTGACGTGGCGGGTAGAATTAATATATATTTGTGTGAACCAAAAAAATTGAGAAAAAGGGTCCAGAAAAAAAATTCTTCAAAAAAAGTGAAAAGAGATTCAAACACCAGAGGAAATGATGGCCATTTGAAGACCTTTTGGGATAACATCATCAATGTCACTGTTATTGTCTCGATTTTGTTTTTGTGGGTGAATGAATTTATTGAAATTCTTAAACTTGTTATTACTCATGTTATTACTATTATTATTGTTCTGAGTATTTATATTGCTGGGATAGTTGTTTCCAACTTCAGAGTTATAACCACTGAAATCAAAAGAAGCTTCTGAGCTAGATTCTCTAAGGTTTTTGTATTTGGTAATAATTTTATTTCTTGAATTTCTTTTTAAAACAAGTCTAAGCTTTAGAAGATAGTCAGAGCAGGGAAAAGCTCTTTCAAGTCCATAAATAAAGATTGACCAGATCACAAGAACAGAACCAATAAAAAAATTCAGTGTAATGCTATAATCTCCAAGATACCAAGAAAGAATACAACTCATAATGATACTAAGAGAATTACCAAAACATTTTAGGATATTATCTGCATATTTAAGTACTGCAGCAACAATAATTCCTCCAATAGCTTGTAGACAAATAACAAGCCATACAAGAGAATTGAATCCATAGAAAAAGCCCTTTTGGGAAATTTCTAGTCCTTCTTTTCCTGTTAAGCATCCAATAAATCCAAAAATAGTACCATATAAGGCAAGCTGCATGTTTCTTCCCCAAATACTGGTTTTACTGTCTTTAAGAAGTTTTTCAAGAAAAACTCCAGCAAGTCCACTTGTAAAACATGCTAATAAGACAGAACTAATACCTAAGAAGTTATCAGTGTTTTCAAATTCAGATCCTGGACTATTTGAAGTAGTAGATTGCGATGATTTTCCTGTTTGTACAAGTACTGCACCTATAGTAAGTAAGAGTAAAGACAACCATCTTATTTTTGAAAGTTGCTTATTCAGAATAATAACTGATATAACAGCAGTGGCTAAGATTTTTAATTGATAAGTAACATGGTACACTGCCCCTGACAAATTTGATAAAGCAATAAAGAGTAAGTTATTCTGCACAACATAAAGTAAACCAGGAACTCCAACAAGGATAATACTTTTTAATGAGTTAAAAACATCAAATCTAAGAGTATTGTAAAACTCATTTATGTTGAAATTATTAGTATAAAGTATGATTATTAGTGAACAGAATAGCTTGAGAACTTCTGAAGTTACCACTGCACAAGAATTAAAGTATAATTCATCATTTTCTGACTTTCGAATGCGAGAAATCCTCATAAAAAAGATTACTGCTACTGTTTGAATAATTAAACAAAATAAGGCTACATATTTCATATATTCATTATTGTTATTTTCAGAGTTACCACCATTTATATTTTGTTTCTGCTCCTTTTTTTTTTAAAATCGAATCAAAGGATTGATAAAGGCAAAGGAAATTAATTAGTGACTATATGTAATATTGGTATGCATGTAAGAGTCTAAACCTACCTCTTTAATACCAATCTCTGATTTCATATCTTTTATAAATAATGATACTTTTGAAAGAAAGGAATTAAAGTGAAAAAAGAAAATAGAAGTTTTTTACTTAAATTATTTTAAATAAAAATCCTTGAATATTTTTCAAAGCTAAAATAATAGAAGTAATTGCCAATAGTATTTATAAACTTTTGCCAGATAATTAATTTGAAATATATCCCCTCTGTGTAAAGTTTAGCTCCTATTTTTTCCTTTTTATATATTATAACCTTGACTATATATTAAGAAATATCTTTACTAATAATATTATATTTGGTGTGTGCGCTTTTTCTTATATATTCTTTATCTTATTCTTAAGTATATTAAATATATTAAGAATGCGCGGGCTATTTGAGTTATGCATACACGTAGTCCTCGAATCCAAATATTATTAAATAAGTAAATTGCATGCAAACAATGACGTGGGAGAAAAAAAGAGAAGGAAGAATAAGAAAAACTAAATGTTCAGAATGAATTTGGAACTTATAATAAATAACATTAGTCAAATATTTGAATAATTCTAGTATTGCAAACAAAAAAGTATTTGGTAAAATTTAACTTTAGAACTAACATTGGCTAAATTTATTTAAACACTACAAATTATCGTAATGAAAAACTCAAATATTCCAATTGGTTGGTTGTATTCAAAACATTAAATGATAATAACATTCTCCCCTCACTACATATTACTGAATTTTAGTTGATTAAGTTATTATTTGGTCTTGGAATGACAACAATTCTTTTTTCTGATGTATATAAAACAGAAATAAGCTGAGGTTGAACTGAATGTTTGGAAGAGAAAGAATTATTTTCATGATTTTTAAAATCAATAAATTGTTTGTTTGATCTTTCTGATTGAATGTAAATACAAGGTAGAGGAATAGTTCCAGCTTGAGTTGGGATACAATTCCATTTTATAATTTCTGTGGATTTTGGCCTAAGAAGTACATTACTGGAAGTAATACCTTGAATTAGTAAAGGTAACCATACTGGAAGATTATGATTATTATTGTATTTCAAAGCAGAAGATAATGACAAATTTTTGGAGTCACAATTACTATTCATTTGGTTTGATAAATCCTGATCACTATTTGGGTGTTTTGGTGGATATATTAGAGAGTATTTAATAGGTTGAGGAAGATTTGTATGATTAGTAATAACTGCTTCATAAATAAATGGGTTACCAATGTAACTTAATTGTCTTACGTGTGTTTCCAAGGTTATTGGATAAAATCTCTTTACTGGAGAGATTAAAGAGTTATAAAGGCTTGAGAAAAGTTCATACTTAATTGGGAATGATTTTAAAGATAGATATGTTGTTTTTTGCTTTTCTTCATTAAATTCATCCATATAATTTGATGAAAAGATTTTTTGGAATGGAAAAATTAAAAACTGTAAAAATTCATCATCATGATTAAAACTTGAAATTTCGCATGAAAGTTTATACTCCAAAGAAACTATAAGTTTTGGGTGGTATTTTGTATTCGAAATGATTTCATTTGGAGTATTTAGATTTTCATTCTTGTTGGAAATATAATACTTTTCGAAATCTTCTTTTGATATATTAATTAAACTTGTATTGGATTCATTACCATTTAGTATTTTTGGGTACCAATTATCAATATTTGAAAATTTAAAAGGTAATATTAAGTCTTCAATGACCATCTTTTCTTTAAATTGTTGGTTTGTGATCTCAAATGACAAAAAGAACTGACTATTACCTTTTGAACTATCATAGAGAGGAACAATTCTGTGTTCCAATTGTCCTCCATACCTATCTACATAGTTAACAGATCCATGTAATGAATCCATTTTTGGAATCATGCTATTTACAGTGATACACTCTCCAACATACCAAGGCCTGCTATATTCCAAGTCATGTAATATTAGGCTGCTGGAAAAACCAAAAGTTTTCTTTGTTTCTGTTTCTGTTTCTGTCTCTTTTTCGGTTTCCATATCCTTATTATTAAAGAACTGAAATCTATTCAGAATTTTTACATTTGCTGAAACTTTGTACTTTCCACTCTTGTTAATACTTAGAAACATAGGAACGAACAGAAGTACTCCCAAAGAGTTGTCTAAAGTATAGAATATAGAGTCTTCGTCCGATTCTTCTTCACCAATAATATCTATCTCTCCCCTTTGCAATGTTTCAAATTGTTCATAACTTTTTGGACCATTTTTCAAGATCTTAAAATACGGAGTAATGTTCTCATCAATAAAGCTGGTTGAATTTTCATCTGAATAGCAGATAGACCGGGTAGAATCAGAAGAAGAAGTTAATTGTGACTCTAAGGTTGAGTTTGAATCCAATCCCAAGCCTGAACCTGAGTTAGGAGATGGGTTTTCAACCTCCGAATAACTCTTCTTTGAGGGACATTTTGTAGTCTCCTTAGCTAAAGTAGTGTCAAAGTTTACAAATTGTATACTCTCATTGAAAACTTCTCCTGTTTCATCCTCTTTTTTTGCTATTTTCTTTCCTCCTTTTATTAAAGAGTGTACTTTTTTAAATTCATTAAGATTTCTATTTTCTGTATGAATATTTCCAATACTTGTTTCTGTTCTTGTTTCATCACTTGTCTCGATTTCGGACAAAATACTTTTTGTAAGAAGCTTTCCATCAATGTTAAATCTTCCAACTGTATTAGAATAAGGATATAAGTTCCTGTTTGAGTTACTACTACCATTAATACTACTATTAATGGTGATGTTATTATTATTAACATTAGCTGAATATATAGTATTTTGGCTAAATACTATTTTCCATTTATTATTGAATGGAATTTGTAGAATTCCAAGCTTTGAAACTACATCCTCTTCTTTTTGAATGATTTTCTCCTTATGATTTTCAAATTCTGATTTTGGAATTTCAAGATGTGAATCTTGAGTGATTAGTTTTTCAACATTAATAGAAATATCCAACATAAATTTTTCTGAAAAGTTTCTGGGTATTCTCAAAATCAATTGTAAAGGTCTAATTTCATTGGAAATCGCATTATACTTAATAGATTCAATAGTATCTACTCTTTGCTTAGATTCAGATAAAAATACATCCAAAGCATTAAATGGAGAGAATAACCAAGCTTTACATAGTTTCTTAATACTTTCAATTTCAGGGCTAATTCCATCATCATTAACCTTCAAACACAACTTGTCATTGAACATCACGTTGTTAGTAACAAGCTTATGGAAAATCGGAAGGGAGTTAAATGGCTGACAAAACTTTGATATGAGTTGTAAATCATCAACGGGAACTTTAAAAATTGGAACAGGATTTGCTATAGTGTTTGTTGATAAATCTAAAAACCCACCTGGGACAATTTGTAACTTGGGAGTATTATATATAAGGGTTCTCGCATGACGTAGCCAACTTCCAGTGCATGTAAAATAAGAGATTGGTGGACTTCTGAGACAAAATTGAACATAAGAAAAGTTATATATATTGGTCCCTGCCAAGTTTGAGATCGATTTTTGGTAGTTGAAATACTTTAATGCGTGAATTCCAAGCTTGATATAATCATTACTTTGGCTTGAATTCGAGACAAGCAAATATAAAAACAAGCCAAAAATAAGAATTGGAGGCCGATATTCCTGATAATATAATTTTCTGGGCTCATTATTTTCATAATTCTGAGGAATGTAATTGACATGTCTAATTCTGCAATGTAGTGATATTTGAGAATTAAAGCTCCCAACTTCTTCAAATTCAACAATTTCAAACTTATCAATAATAACTCCTAATATTCCAATATTACTTACAAGACTCGCCTCCACTTTGGAGTTAATAAATACAGTTAGAAAAGTTGGAAAATGATGAATCATTATGGTAATTCTATCATGAAATGACTGGTCTTGTAATATAGTTGAATAGTTATTATGAAGAAAATGAGTAAATAGAATATTCTTTACTTGGGCTTTACCTGTAAAACTTGAAGTAGATTTTGCTGACGAAATATTATTAGAATTAATGGTATTATTCATGTTATCTCCCCCAGTATTACTAGTAACAGCACTATTTAATACCTTGTAATATAATACTTGAACCCAGTTATAAAAGCTTTCAATTTCTTGTTTGTGCGTAGATTCTGATTCTTTTTCAAGTGAGTTTGAAATAATTAAATAAGAAAGAATCATAATTGAGCAGTGATTAGAAGTATTGGTTTTCTGTTTACATTGAGTAGCTTGATTTTGGCCTTGTATCCACGTTCTTTTTGGTTTTAGTACAGCTAGGAAGCTTGAGACTACAGAATAGATATATTGGTCATCTTGTTTACTATTATTATTACAGAGATTTGGATTACTTCGAAATATTTTATTTTCAGAATTTGCATTAGAAATAATAATTTTTGGCATATTCATTCTTTCTTCCATATTTAAATTTTGAATTGAAAGGCATTCAAGTATTTTGGCAGAAACTCGCTTCAAAAATAACCAAAAGCTCGAGTCAAAGTAGCTACTTGTTAGCTGAAAGCATGTATTAGTCATTTGAGGATTAACTATTTCCCACAAAGTTGCCTTCTTCTTTCCAAAAAGCTTACTTTGTTGCTCATCTATTGTAGTTAACCTACTAATTTCAGCAAAAACATGCTTTGGTATTACAGACTGAAATATTGCTTCAAAAATACTTAATGAACAGTTGATATAATTCTCCTCAAATAGGCAATCCGCAAAAGAAAACGAAATCATCTGAAAGAAACGGTCAGTTGTATATCCCAAAACCTGCCCAACTCCAACCTTGGGGGGAATTACTGCAGAGGTAGAACCAGCCCCAGTTCCTCCTGATAAGCTTCCTACAGTTCCAATTCCATTTACTAATGACGTACTTGGCCCCAAAAAATTTCCAACACCCGCCTCAACTTTATTCTGACCCTGAATACCGGGCAAAACCTCTGCCAAATTTGCACTGGCATGCATGCATCCACTCTGACTTGCATTGTCCACATGAGCTGCATGTGCGGGCAAATTGCATTTATTTACAGAGGCATTGCATGTTTGCAAATTATTATTAATACTTTTTTGTGATGTTTCCACGCTACTATTTGCGTGAATGTTAATATTTGGGTGGGAAATGAAATTTAAATTACTTGGATAAAAATGTCTGTAAATGACTGCTGAAATATAAAAAAGTGAAATGGACCTGTAAAATAGAGATTTTGAATTGACAAGTAATTTAATGTTTCTTCTAACAATCTCACAAGAAGCAAGAACTTCTGAAGCAATACTTCTGTCTTCAATTTGGTTAATATCAAAAGAATCTGAGCCAATATATAGTGAGCTAAGTTTACCTAGTTCATTGAATGTTGAATTGTATTGAGTAAGCTCCTTTCTTTCATATTCAAAAAATATTTCAGGAGAAGAAAGCTCTTCAAAACACCCGAGTGAAAGAGGAGGAAGAATCTCCCCTCCGATCTCTGAATCATTTTGGAAGAATTCTGTATCAAATTCATTGCAAAACTCACTGAGCTGGCTTCTCGAAAGGTGAGAATATTCTGCTGAAGTTTTATAAAGTTTTGAAATGTTTAGTAATGTATCAACTACTTCATTATTATGGTAATTGTTATTTATAACGGTAAATTCACCACGATCTTTTCCACTAACTTCATTTTCATTGTTTGCATCAAATTGATTATTCTTATTAATAATAACGATATTTTGAATAGATCTGGCAATTGAGGAAAGAATATCACCAAGATTATCATTTTCCAATTTAAAGGCACAACTCTCAGAGCAGGTCTCTGAAGCTCTTGAAATGATCTTTTCATGATTATTTCCTATAGATAATGGAATTGATGAGAATTCAAGTCCATCAGGGTATTGGTGATAATTATTATGGCATAATTTTGTATATTCTCTAGTATTTGGATCTTGATTAAGACTATGATTGTGTTCATTCTTATTTACAATATAAAAAAAAAGTATTGAAGCCAATTTTTGGAGTGTTTGAGAAAGCCATAAGGATGATAAAAATATAAATTTTGGATGATTTACTCCAAATTCTCGGAGAGTTCTACAGTGAATCTTTAAATGGCTCATAGCTTTTTGGATTTCATCATTTATAACATAAATATGGTAAAGCCTTAAACTTATTATATTAAAAAGTACCACAAATTGATGAGAAGGTATATTTGTTTCATTCATAATATTATCCCAAGCAGCAATATATTGTTTTGTAGCTAATACAAAGTTTCCACAAAATTCATTCATTACAGCACTCTTTATGCAGTATCTTATTAATAATACTTTTGATTGAAGCTGAGTCAGTGTTTGACAACCATTTCCAGAAGCACTTGAAGCAAAAGAGTTATTTTTATTTGATCTAGATAAAGTACTTCCACCTCCCAAGCTTACATTTTTAAAGAGATTGTTCACACTATTTGAACTTGAGTTACTTGTTGAAAAGTATGAATTTCTACCAAATCTTGGAGATAGACTTGATTGTATACTATTTGAAACGGAATATCTTAGTCCAGAAGATGAAGTTTTCATGGATAAACTTCCAATAAACGAATCATTTGGGGCAGTTATACCAGCTGTCTGTGCCTTGATTGCAGATTTTCTCCATCTACGCTCATTCTCACTATAGTATGCTTGAGCTGTTTCATAAGCCATTTCAGCTAATCTCTCAATTCTAACATTTAATTGTTTTTGGTGCTTTAATCCACAAGTTACAAATATTGCCTGCAATTCTGGAAAGTGGTTTCTTCTGAAACATGTTACACATGATTGAGGATCTGGAGTACCTGATGGTAGAATCACGAAAATTAAAACTGATGGCGGAGATTGTCTCTTCTTTAATATTGATATAATATTTCTAATTATATGGAGAGCATCGTTTTCAAGTTCATTAATAATTTGCTGATTCTTTTCGGTTTCAGAGTTTGAGGTGTTTGTTGTATTAATTGGATATCTCTGCCAGTCAAAGCAAAGTATATATAGAGCTGGTGTTTCATATCTAACCTTATTCATCCAATTCATATTCAAAATATCGATTCCACCAAGATAACTACCAGTTCGGTTTCCTAATATACAATTTGAATTTGAAATAGAATACGGAGATTTTAATAAAGCTTTAGATGGAGAAGTTGCACTTGGTATTTGCGTTGGATTATGAAGTTCTGAATATGTCATACATTTTAATTCAAGGTATTTATCACAAGGAAAACATGATTTTGGCCGAAATGAATAAATACTTCTCGAAAGATGTTCTTGTATATTTTTTGGGGCTACCAAGGCAATTAAAGGCTTAAAATAGCCTTGCCAGTCTGGATGAAATCCTTCCATTATTATTTTTAATAGTCTTTAATAAATAAACTTTCCATTCAAAGTTAAATTTTACCACATTAGAAAGTAATTAATAATAGCAGAATTTCTTTTTAATATAAAAAAAATATATTAAAAAATTATTATTACTAGTGATAGTAGTAATAATAATAATAGTAATATTTATTTAGGATATTTAACACATTTATTATAGTTAAGCCTGCAATTAATTCCCTTATTAATTTAGCTTTGGTAAATATAAAAACTAAAACAATTTCTCTATCTTTGAATATATTCTCAATAATACCTAGTTCTTACTCAGGATTATTTCACACAATTTCCCAATTTCTCTTTTATTCTTCACTATTTTCAGTTCTTTAGCTTTATTCCAGTTGTTTGACTATTTAAATATTCTCATCTATAACCACATTCGTAAAAGTGCATACATATATACATAAATATATATATGAAAATATATATATTTATATATATATTTTTATATATCAATATGAATATAGTTATTTTTTCGCTATTGCTCCTTTTATTCTCTTCAGAATATTTTTTTTTCTCCAAGTCAACCCCACTCGATTTCCCGCCGGCGCCACACCATGGGTACCGAATATTATTTATTTTCATGTAAAGCAAATAAGAGTTAAAAAAGAATATAGGTAAACAAAAATTAAGTCAAGTCAAATATATGGATTTCTAGATATTAATTATAAAACTTGAAAAAGATCGGATAATTTGCATTTTTCAAACATTAGTATATTTATATAGAATTAGTTTAAAAAGTGGTGATAATAGTAAAAATAACTATAATGGAAGAGATTAAAAAGGAAGAAAATCATCAAAATGAAGAATATCACAAAAATTCTCCAGAGTTCTATTTAGTATTGTCTAATATATCAAAAAGACAAAACTTTGGGACTTTACTTAGAAGTGCATGCGGATTTGGAGTTTCTGAAGTACTAGTAGTAGGAGAAAAGAAATTGATGACTTTTGGAAATAAAGGAACTCTTCCACATTTAAGCTTAACACAATATGAGAATATTGATCAGGTTGTTGATATTATTAAAGAAAAAGAAATGGATTTGGTTGGAATTGAAATAAGTAGTGAGTCAAGACCTATATACCCTCATCCTTTTAAAAGATCCACTGCTTTTCTACTTGGTAATGAAGGTACTGGACTTAATCAAAAATATATTAATCTTTGTGATTACTTAATTCATATTCCTCTTTATGGCAATGGAACTGCATCTTTAAATGTTGCTATAGCTGGATCAATAGTATTTCACCACTTTGGTATTTGGGCTAAATTCACTGAATCTTCAAAAAAAGGAGCTAAATATCTTATTCAAAACGATAAAACATCCAATATTAAAGGTAAAATCAGGCATTATTTGTTTCCTTCTGAATTAGGTATGTCTTCCAATTTTTAAATTCTTTTCTTACCATTATATTTAATTTTATAATTATTTTTCAATATTAAGAAAAAAGAGTTATTGAGAAAAAAAGGCTTGAAAGGTAAGTTTTAATCATCTTTAAAGATTTTAATTATTATTTGTCCAGAAAACGAAAAAAAGAGTCTGATAATCAACAAAAAGTTTCCTCCCTGTCATTATTAACTTAGTAATATCCAATCATATTTCTTAATGATAGTGGTATTTTCCTTTTTATCATGAATAATAAGCCAAATCTTCTTATAATTACTTTATTATCTTTATTCTGTCAAGAAAATCAAAATTTATTTAAAAGCAAAGAATTATAGTCTTTTGAGATATCAATGGATAAACTAGACAAAATACTTTTCAATTTTTGACGAATACTTTGATCTTTGCATGTAACACACTCTATTAACTCAGGTAATACATTTTCTATATAATTCCCAAAACATTTCTTTCCTACTTTAATAATCTCCAATTGGATTTCATTAGTTTCATCCAAATTTTCTTCTTCAAAAATTCTTAATACCTTGTAATGTTTCTCAATTAAAACCAATAATGAATGAATTTCTTCTATTTTTAAATGTGGCATTGGTCTTAATCCACTCTGTAAATCTTCCATAGAAAAATTCTTAAACATATTACTTGTCATTCTATGCAATATACCTCCCAATTCTTCAACACAATTAACCAAATCTCTCACTTTTGACCTTAGTTTTAATATCTCATCCTTTCCATGATCATTTAATTTTTCATTTTTGTCTTCTTTGTTAATAATATGAATAATATTCCTTCTTCCTATTGACCTTAATTTATTGTTCAAATGATCATACAAAGCAAATAACTTTTCTATTATATATATCTTCAATGTCTGATAATTAACATTTAAAGTTGGATAATTGCCATTAGTAACATTACCATGAATAGCTGACAGTCCAAAATTCATATTTTCCCTATAATTAGACCTTTTATATTCTTCTGTGGCACTCCTAATTGTTAACTCCAATCGATTAATAGAATTATTATCGTTAATGAAGCTATCAAAGTAATTGATCATTATTATATAATATTTGTAAGGCAATTCAAACATCTCCAAATCCTCTATATCATCCCTTTTCTGCTCTTGTAACTCATCTCTTATATTCAATCTATTTAATAATAAAATAAAATCCATAGCCACATTTACTAATAATATATCAAAATATAAATAGTAATTTTCAATGTAATTATTGACCTTTAGTAAATTTTTATTTAATATATTACTTGCAACAATTTTTAGTCCAAAACCTTGATTTTCTTTTACCATATTCCCAATAATTTCAACAAATAATGGCCAGATATTCTCCATAATAATTTGATTAAACTCATTCTTAATTGAATTAAAATCTTCTCCATGAATATCTCTAAATTCCATTTTGATATATGCTATAAATGATATCCAATCATGCATGATTACTAAAATAGCCTCCTTTGCCACCATCCAAATCCCATATATCCTTTCCCTATCTAATTCCATAAGTAATAGTAACTTTTCAAATAAATATGGTAAAATCATCATCATTTGAATTATTGAACTACTCTCATTAGTTAACATTCCACTTAATAATTGTTGAATCTTTATTTGATCTTTTTCAATAGTAAACAATTGAAACATTTCCATACTTTTGAGTATTATATTTCTATTATATCCAACTAATAATGATATAATCTTACTAGATATTCCTATCTTATTAGTATCCATAAACAAATCTTTATGTATTACCAAAGTATCCAACAACTTTTTAATTACTAGAGGTATTAATATATTTCTGAAAGAAATTTCTCCCAAAACACTAGATTCAATGTTTTTAACTTGATTAAAGGATAACAAACTCATAATGTAAAACTGTAGTGCCTCCATTCCTATATTTTGTATTGTTGTTACAAATCTGATCTCACCATTAATACATGATGATAAATAATCATTATTATTTTTTATTGAACATAAATATGATCTAGTACCGATATTATTAGTTCTCTCTATAATATTTTCATCAATTGATTTCATTTCAACTTTAGAGACTTCTTTACATTTTAAATAGTAACAATAATTGGCCTCTGGTTTGAACATATTTAAATTACTAATATTTCTCAACAAATAAACAATGTTCAAATGCTCAGATTCTAATTCTTTATTACTTAATTGATCCTTTCTTTTTTGGTAGAATTCATCCAAAAGTGAAGTATTTCCAACTTTTTTAATGTAATTTCCATGAATAAAGTCACTATTATTATAATCATCAATATATATCAGCCGGTTTATATTCCTTCCATTAGTATTAAATTCTTTACCTGATTTAACATGTTCTTGATTGTCTTTTTCAAAGTTAACTAATTTAGGAATATACAATGATGAAATTGGATTACTTTTGTCTCTGCCCCATATACAACCATATGATGATAATGATGATACAAGCAAACCATAATCGGTATCATTTTTGCCATATTGATTGTTATAATACTCGGAAAACTTGGCATATAACCCAGTTTTACATCTTTGATCATTAGATTGTCTATTAATAATTTCTTTAAGTGTATCTAGAAAATGGTCAGTTATTTCTGGGTAATTCAAATTAGATAGTGGTACCGTATGGTGAATAAAGGTATCGGTAGATGTAATGATTGAAATAATCAGATCCAATAGTATAGTCAATTGTTTAAAAGACTCATCAAATAGCATATATTTTGTCATATTACCATCTTCATTTATTAAAATGAGTAAATCAACCACGGACTGGAGCAAAGATTCTGCTAACTTGTCAGATAAATAGAACTTGGTTAACTTGTGAACATAATTGTTATATGATTTGTAAATTGAATCATCCTTAGAACTTTGATCTAGATCTTGAATAAATTCCTCAGCTCTTTGCAGCTTTTTTAAAGTCTCACAACTTTGAGTAAGAATCCTATCAATAATTTCTGTATAAATGAGAAAACCTGAATTCCATAATTCCTTATTACCAATTCTCATTGAAACAACTAGCAGCTCATATAATGTCTTAATTGAGGTAATCTGTATATCTTTTGCATATATTATAGCATTATTATTGTTATTAAAACCACCAGAACGATCGCAGTTTTCTTTCTTATAAGATAGCAAAAGTGATATTGTTTTGTATAAAAACATTGTGCATTCATGACATATATTTTGAGATTCCAGGTCTTTCAATACATTACTTTGAGATAACTCCTTAATTACTCTTAAAGTTCCATCTATAGAAATAGCCAATGTTCCTTCCCAAAGTTTGTTTTGCTGAGAATTCCTTATAAAACTAGTGGATAAAGATGGGCATTCATCTTTTTTACCCGTTTTATTTAACTCAGAATCATAATTTTGTGGAGCAGGAATAATATTTTCAAACTCCAAGGATGTATTAATTTGGCTAGAATATACATTTTCGGTTTCTTTCTTTGAAAGAGCTGTAGTTGTTGTTTCTTTAGATTCTTTGTCATCTTTTAAAAGAGAATTAAAACTTTGTAATTCTTCATAATTGGTTTCTTTGTAGGAATTGTTGTACTGCTCTATACTAAGCGATAGAACATTCTCAAGAATTCTTACAATAATTGATTTCAATAACTGGTTCTTTATGTACTTAAAGTGTGTTATTAATGCGGAAAATAAGCTTCTAAGTGAACAATTTCTTATTTCTTGACGTGGATCTTTGCATAAGTCCTCCAACTGAAGTATTATATTCAACCAAATTATCTCAATGTTGGTATAATCTGAGTAGAAAACTCTATTAATCTTATTCATGCTTATCTTGACATTCCTTTGGTTGAATACTAAAATCTTATTAGTATCTGTTTCAACATCATATTCGCTCATACAATCAAAACTTTCCTCCGGTTCAATTGGAGTATTTTGATTATTTTTAGATAGTGAAGGTCCTATTAAATCAGTTAATTTCCATAGTAAACTTACAGCTTGAAACGCCATGTTTTCTGTGGAAATATTTACACGACCAAATACGGCAATAGATTCAATTAATAAATTCCAAGACGAAGATATTTTGTTTGTATTGCTTAAAAAGCGTATTTCAGCCTCATCACTGATATATTCTATCAGAGAAAATAATGCTTGAAGTAACTCTATGTCATAATCAATATCCAAATGGTTATTCTCAATTTGATCTTTTTCAGAATTTAAACATTCATTACTTAATGATTCCAAAAACAATATTGAACCATTGATAACTATATTTTCATTAGTAGTGGATTTCTCATATTTAAGGTACTTGATATATTTAGAATATCTCTCTTGAATTATATTATTAATTAATACATTAATCAATATCCATGTAGAATTGTCCAGCCTTGGTATTGTTGAGCACAATATTGAATATAGCGAACGGAGAAGCAAAGTGTTATACATTGGAAATAATCCAGTCAACATTAAATAAGGATTTAACAAACTTGTCTGAACATTATTTTGCATCAACATAGGATTTTCTTCATCAATGAACTTAAAAATTGTTGTTATTGTTGACGACAAAAAATTCATTATACTATTAAACATTTCAACATTTTCTACATTGTTTCTTGTTATTTTCTTATTTTTATTCATCTCCACGTCATTATTTTTTTCATGTGGACAGATATGACTAGAATGCATGCAATTTTCCAAATTGCATGTGGGTTGGTCTTGTGCGCATGCAATACCGGTGTTGCAGAAATTATTTTGTTTGACAGTTTCCAGTAAAAGAGGAATAATTTTGTCGTTCCAGATTGGAATGAATAAGTTGTAACTCATTTTGTCGTAGATGGATTGAATAATACAACTAAGCTGTTTAAGCATATAGTCAAAAACTTCGATATCCAGATTATCTTTGTACATAATAAAACTTAGCTCTTTGTATATGCCTTTAATCACACAATTCATGGTATTTTCCGAAATTTTTTTGATGTGATCCTTTAGAAATACCTGATGAGATGCTCTAAGAATTGTAGATTCAGCCATGAGAGTTTTAATTATTTGACCATCTCTTACCTTTCCATCTTTAGTCTTAAGATTGCTTAACTCAATAGACTCTCCATTTTCAAGAGAAGGTTGATGTTCAAGTTTCTGGTTTAATAAGTTCTTATCAAGTTCCACTGACTCTCCAATTTCAGTTACAGATCTAGACTTTACTTCATTAGATTTTACCATAGGCCCCAATCCAATATCTAATATACGGTCAATATATTCCATGTATCTAAATAACAGTTGCCAAGAAACCTCATCTAAGCACTCACTAAATTGATATGAAATAGATAAAAAACATTTATATATTGAAAACACTTTCTCCAGCATAACTGCATCAGTAAGAATTCTGGACTCTAAGATTTGGTTATTTTTGTAGTATTTCTCTAACGATTCAAAAATTAACTCCAAAATGTTACTTAGTTTTGACTTAAATTCAGGTAAATTTGAAATTATAAATAGAAAAGTAATGATCCTATATACATAATATCTTAAAAGGTAGTAATCCATGCATTGTTTTATTAATATATAAAATTTATCCCAAATATTAAATACCAATTTTTCAAATTCTACTTTTTTATCCAAATCACCATTAATCAGGCCCTTATAAATACTATTTAAACACGTTGAAATATTCAAAATTATATCAAAAACCAGTAGAGATATTTCGATTGGTTTTAGTGATATCAAAACAACCGAAGATAAATTTGACAAGCTCTGCATATTACCTGCAGGCAAATTAGTAGTGCCTCCTGCATGTGCCTGGTTCCCGCCAAAAGTATAATATTTTGAAATGTGATAAATGCGATCATCTTCCATGATAATGTCGATAAGTCTTAGGTTTTTTTCCGAAGTCTTTTTAGATGAGCCAATAATAAAGTACCCACATTCAATGCTGGTATTATTATGTTGAGGTAAAAGTATTGAAGGAAGAGAAATTTTCTCATTAAGAAAAGATGGTACAGATAAGTTTAGTGTATTTTCAGCTGAGTGAAGGATATCAAGTTGGTCATTAAGAGAAACCAGAATTTGATTGATGTTGAAGATGATAAGTTCCAGAAGATTCGTTATTCCACATTCTTCATTCATTTTTTGCTCTTTATTTGGCAATTTAACATTATAGTTTCCAATTATGATAAGTGTATCTGGGTTTTGAACTAATTCACTCAACATTTCTAAAATACATTGAAGAGACCAACTTGGTATATTAGAGTAATTACCATCAGAAATCACTTGGATAAAACTTATTAAGGAGTTACAAATACAGTCTTTAATAAAAGGACCTTGTAACTTCTTACTAGAGTTAAATTCCAAAATCTTGACAAATAATCTGATAAACCTAGCAAACATAACAAAGTCGTGAATGTTCTGAGACATTTTTGGGTTCAACTCTAAGCATGCATTTTGAATACATTTAGTTAGAGTCGGAAATAATATATTATGAATTATGCTTCTTAAATCTTCATTATTTTCCAACAGTGATCTTCTACTTGATACATTGTTATCCAGAATTTCATACCATAAATCCAGGCATATTTCTGATGGAATTGTAATTCCTCCTTTAAGTAAGGATAGTGGGGTTATATTATCTTTTGAAGTTTTACTGTTTGAAACTAATTTAACGTTCTCTACAATATTCTTATCTATCATGATTGATATGTCTTTAATTAATAATAGAGAAACAACTTCTGAAATACCTTTACTATCTTCTTTATTAGCTTTACTTGAATCAATGTAATCTAGTGATATATTTATAAGCTGTCTGATTGCAAGCTGAGACATTTGAATTAATTGGTAATAACCTGACAAGTTAAATAGAGTTGAAATTATACTAACTATTAGTGTAATCATAGCTTCATTAAATTCGAGTATTTCTGGAGACAAAAACAATAATATAGTTTGAATCACTTTTAGTAAAACCTGTTCTTTATCACTGTTTGAATTAGAGTGATTTCCATGATAATTAATAGATGTGTGCTTGGTTTTATTCTTAATTGTAATAGAAGCCTTTAATGTAATTTCATTTAACACTGCTAATATTGTTATTTTATGCGAAGTATCTAATAGCCCTGGTATTAGTATTTGTTGAATACAGTTCATACCCAATATAGACAATTGCATTGAATCTGAGTATTTTGTAGATGCTATTATAGCTTCCCTACAAACTGAACAGATATCTGTGGCAGGAAACTGTTTAAATCTTTCTCCATTTTCGTCACAATCTGTCTTATATACTACATCCCTATAGTGCCTAAAACTTAACAAAGCCTTTTCGCACATTACCTTAATGTAATTGAGGTTACTGCTTTTGCATGGCGCACAAATTGCTCTTAATTCATCTTCTATATTTGGGCAGCTCGGCTTTGGTTTTGTAACAATTTGGCCGTGTTTTCCCATGCTTTTTTCCATTGACCCACTTTTATTCTCTTGGTTCACTTTCAAACTATGAATTAAAGTTTCCTCCTATTATTCTTAAACTCCAGGCACAACCAGAACCCGTTTCTTTGTATCATACCATTAAATTATAATGTTAATTTCGAATGTCTTTCACTTATTTTGTTTCAAAAATTTTTTTGAAACAAAATATTAGTTGTTTGGCGCCAAACTTTTTTTTTGGGTGAGAAATATTTATTTATGTGAACAAGATATAATGAATAAGTAAAATAATTGACTATTCAAAATTAAAATATGCTTCAACTACTTCACACTGTTTGTAAAGAAAATACACAGAAAAGATTCTTTACAAGATTTTTACTAGCACGTTTTCTTGTAGGTAATTGAATGTATAGTTTTTTCAGTACAAAAACAAGAAGGATTTTCTATTAACTACAAGATAAAACAAACAATCCAAAGAATTGTAGACTTAGTTTTAATCAGATATTATCTTTAGATTTAATAAATCAATCTTTTAATAGGCATTAGCCATATATTAATAAATGTAATATTTCAAAATACATGTGGCGCCAAAACACGCATGTATATATACAACTAAATGGGCAGAACTCTTGAAGGTGAGTAGTGTTAGAGCAAACAAAATTTGGTTCAAGCCAAGTTATTCTATCTTTCTCTTGTTATGCCTCTTCTGTTCGATTCCGTTCTTCTCTGATATACTTGAGCAATACTTGAAGATAATGATTTGCATTAAAGGAACTGTATTAAGCAGAGCAGAAATCACATTGGTTAGCAATAGAATTGTGTTGGATTTGGATTCACTGAATAAAACAGTGACAACTCTAGACCATGAACCTCCAGTTAGAAGAAAAAATGAAATGAATGAAAGCTGACCAGTACTGCTTTCAATATAGCATTTGACAATTTGAGGAACTCTTGATAGAACAACAAAAATAAGGGGCGAAATTGAAAGATACTTTAAAACTTGAATAGGAATGACGTCTTGATAAAGGGCTGCAATGAGTAAAGAAATGGATGTAATATAAAAGATCTGGTTAATTGGGAACTTCTTATTTTGTGAATGTATTATACATAATACGAGAATAAATGCATTTTGAATACCTATAAAGGCACTATCGGCCCAAAGCAGCCATGGAACATTAAATCTCCAATTTGTAAATGAGTATATGCAAGATGAGAGAATCTCAACATATATACTAAAGCTACTAATTCCTTGTGTGCTTTTTGAATTTAATATTTTAATTATTTGTGGTATTTTTACTATACAAGATCCTGCAATGATTAGATAACTGATTAACTGGAAAAATGTATCAAGGGATATTAACTCCAATGCGTTCATGTTTTATTTTTTTTTTTTTTAAAAACTCTATTAATTGATATCTTAAATTAGATAATATTTAAGTATTTATTTACACCTATAATACAATTAGTCACTTATTAAAGTTTAAGAAGAGAAATATTGATAAAATTCCCAATCTTGAATTGAGTGTTTTTCATATAAAATATATTTGTATAGATTTTATACTAAATATTTTCAATTACTTAATTCACTTTCTTCTTTTAAATAATAGAAAGGGATAATTTTTTTTTTTTAATACATGTAACTTTTCTAATTTGATTTTACATAATTTCTTCTTATGTGGGTAACAGATTATTTTTTTGGCGGTAAGGAAAATATCTATATTATTGGGGGAACAGGTTTGGCGGCAATTTGTGTGTTAATTATTAATATAAAAATAAAAGTAACTATAAATTGTGACAATTATCAACTTAAAAAAATTTACAGATTTGTTTCCTTCTCTATGTTAATTGTTTTTTTGAAATTAAGGCTGTATGAATATAGTAATGGATTACGACTTCTAAAAAAATGGACAAGAATAGGTTTAATTTGGTTGATTTTGCTGTATTTTCTTCTAGTATTTTAATGATTGTTTTCTCATAGCTAAGGTACACACAATTTATAGCAAATTAGGGTGCAAAAACTAATTATACCTAGACAATAATCATCAGTTTTACTTATAAAATTAGAGATAAATACAAAAAAAGGTTTATTTAATATTCATTTTTCTATATAACTTGTTTTAGAGTTAAAGGTGATATCAGCGTCATTGAAGATTTTAAGTACATTTTTGGACTAATTTCTGACATTTTAATTACATGTAATTTAAATCCTTAATTTATATTAATTTTATACCTTAATTTCCATAATTAAAGTTTTTAAATTATTTATTTTAGCAAGGCTTATAAAATCATAGATCCATACTTGTAAACTCTATTGAAATAAATAATTGGTATATGAAGGATAAAAATACTAACAACTTTATTTACCTGGATTTCAGCAATTTAATTTCAGTAATTCTTGGTTTCCTTTCAACAAGATTGTGATACAACCGTAGTTAAATGGTTAGAGAGGTTCCCAATAAAGGTGATTCATCTCCAGCTCTTACGCCTCCTAAGTCGGACGCACCTAAAGCTGCTCCTGTTCCAGTGCTAGCCCTACCCAAAGATAGTGCACCAGTTAATATTCCAGTAGTATCAGTTAGTGTGAACGAAAGATCAGAAGTTCCGAATTCAGATAAAGTAATACAAGTTCCTACAGTGCCGAAAGAAGGAGGGAACACTCAGAATCAGACTTCTAGTCCTCCGGTTACACCTCCTCCACCTAAGCAATCCTCATCTCAGCAGTCTCCATCAAAACCTCCTTCAAGCCCAGCTCCTAGCCAATCAGCTCCTAGCCAATCAGCTCCTAGCCAATCAGCTTCTAGCCAATCAGCTTCTAGCCAGCCAACTCCTAGTCAGGCGGCCCCTCAACCTCAGCAGTCTTCATCTCAACAGTCTTCATCTCAAAAGTCTCCATCAACACCTTCTTCAAGCCCAACTACTGCACAGTCTGTTCCTCCACCTCAACAGCCTTCACCAAAGTCATCAACCGAATCTTCATCAAAGCCAGCTCAAACTCAAATGAATTCACAAAAATCAGATACTCAAAAGTCAGTTTCACAAAAGTCACAAAAGACTGAATTTAGTAAAATGGGAGAGACGTCAAAGCAAATTGAGTTAAATGGAATCGGATCTAACTTGGATACAAGAAGATCAGTAGAAAATACAAAATTCTCTTTAGTAGAGTCAGAGCTAGACTCTAAATTTCCAGATATTAAGACAGCTTTCAGTAAAGATGGGCTTCAGGAAGTTAGAGTAGCTCTGATTTTTATAGTTATAAGCCTAATCATGGTTATTGGATTTTCAATAAGAAAATATCGCAAACTTAGAAAAGGTGGAGAACAAGTCAGAAATATTACAAATACAGTATTTCCAGTTAAAATTGTGAGTCTTTATTTATATATTTTTTTGTGTTTCCCAATTACTGTACTTATGCAATTCCTATCATGTATTGCACCAGTAGGATTTGGAATGTTTAATGTGGTACAATCTATTTATCAAGGTTCATGTTACATTTGGCTTTGGGATCTTTTTGTTGAGTACTTTGGAGGGTCAGAGCAAATTGTAACAGCTATAAGAAGAACAGGCCCTTACCAAATATGGAAGGTGCCTCCATTTATGATTCCAACTAATCCAGAAACTTATTTTCAACCAAAAATAGTCATTGTAAGCTATATATTAATGGTACAATTTCTTCCAATTAACGTCCTAGTTTCAATACTAAATATTATCCATCCATCCAAAGCTTTTCTTTATAACATCTTTTTAATTCTTTCTTTATCTATTTCAATTTATGGAATAATGCTCATTTACTGGCCTAGTAAAGAAGCTCTTCAACCTTATCAAGGTGGGTGGAAATTTGGGATCCTTGTTATTCAATCATTCTCCATTATAATAATTGACTCCATTATTAGACTTGCTAAGTATGAAAATAGAGAATATAACTCTATTGTTTATAAACTTTATTGGAAATTAATGCTTACCTGTGGTGTAGCCACAATCTGTACTCTTGCTGCTGTGGCAATTATTGATTCTAGAGAAATTTATCAGATTTATAACCTCTCAATACCCACCAAAAACTCTGAAAATATTCCCGAAAACAAAGCAATGCTTAATACTAAAGTCTAAAAAGTCATATTTGACACATGTTTGAGCGGGGTTAGGTGGCGCCATACATTATTTGGTTATTTCTAGAATGTATTTTTTTGGTATTAGAATATTTAATTAACTAGATTATTAATTCAGTATTTTATAAACATCTAAAGTAAGTATACTTGCTCCTTCTATGTAGATTTTTCTATTTTTTTGCATTCATTTTTTTTTTTACTAAATCTGACCAACTTTAAATCACATCTTTTAACACAAATTAAGGTTATGGCTGAAGTAGTTTAGACACTAATTAAACAGGAAAATAAATACCGAATTTACATTTTAAGCTCGAGAAAAATTTGAAATAGGGAATTTCTGAAGTGTGTGTGGCATGATAAATAATAATAGGAAATTCATAAAGATCTTATAAAGAGTATTATTTCATTTAGTCTAGATTTAAAAAACCTTAATTTGGAATTATGCCGCCCACCACGTCATTCTTATTACTATAACCTGCATGCATTAATATATTTACAGATACATGCAAAACCAAATTAGACAATCTATGTCAGTTTGTATAATTTATGTTTTTTCTTATTAAACTGACTATTCGAGAATTTCATTGTAGAATTAAATAATTTATTGGGAAAATTTCTTTTAATAAATGTTAGTTTTTCGATCTTAAATATAATGGAAATTTTTATAGGTAAAACAATTTAAATTATAGGTGGCGGGGAAATTACAGACAACTTCCATAAATTTCTATTTTGTTTAGCTTATCTTCCATCACTGATAATTAGTTCATTTTTTTCCAATAATTATAATTGTTTTAACTTGATAATCTAGATACTATCTGAATTTACTTCAATTCCTCTTTCTGTTAAATTATTAATCATGAAAATTATTAAAAAAAGTAGATAGATACTGATATCAGGAATTACCAGTATAAAGTGTACTATGCAAGTTTTAAATATGTAGAACAAGAAATAGGAAATTAATCCATTCTTGATTTCAAAGTTTTAGTAACAAGCTTCTCGGGAGTAAGTAGATAAACTTTGCAACCCCATCCAGAAAATGCATCTCTATCAATACCAGAAAGCATACATTGTGAGGCAATCTCCATAAGCTCATCAGGTTCTAAATCAGGTCTATAATACGATTCACAGATACCAAAAAGTTGATTATCAGCTGTTCCAGAAATTGCAAATTCATTACACACTGATAAACAACCAATAAGATCATATCCAGCAATAAAAGGAACATTATTGTTATCAAGACCTGCTACAATTGGTTCCACAAAATATGGACTGAATCGTTTGCTATATAAAATGGAAGCCGTCATATGGCTAAGTGCCTTAACGCCAATCTCTCTCTCTTCTCTTAAATGGTACAAGTTTGTTTTAAATTTGATCAAATTTGTTAAAGTGTGAATATCTGTAGCTAATCCTGAAAATCCCATCAATGTTTTTGAACTAGGTCTTATAATTTTATCAAAGTTAGTACTAACAGTTCTGTAGCCATTAGATCCAAGTCTCATATCTGTTGCAAAAGCAACACATTCCTTTCCTTTCATTGCCATGATGGCACCACCATTATAAGTCATAATAGACTAAAGATTCAAGGGAAAAGAATTAATTTCTAATTAATAAAATTTTGATTCGAATATAACTTACCATTTTTGATTTAGTATATTTCTCACTTCAAAAGTTTAGTTATATCAAAAATAAGGTTGAATCTATAGAATTTATTCAATCTAGTAATAAACTTGACTACCTTGCTTAAATCTTGTTTTTATGTAATGGAAAATAATAAGCTGAATATTTAATCCAAACTTCTATATAAACTTAATATATTTTAAGATAAACCTAATTGGGGTTGTTCTTTTCCTATATTAAGAATGATAAATATACATATATATGTTAATTCAAGTTTTTATATTAGTGTATAAATATTCCACAAATTCTTTAATACAATCCAATTTATGACTTCCCTTGATATATTTTGCAGATTAAATCGTATTAAAAATTTAAACAACTTTTTATTTATTTTCCCTCTTTTTACTTTAAAAATTTTTTAAAAATTATATATTAATACAAAAAAAAAAAAATCAGTTTTATCCCCAAACTAAAACCCCTCATACCCCCCAACATAGCATCATTCATGCCGCCACACATGAGCGGCAAACTGATAGGGTATCGGGAACTGGCGCCATATTCGTCTTTACTAAAAAAGAAAATAAAATGTAATATAGATCATTTTTGTGAATAGTAAATGGGTAACAAAAGATAATTTTGTGATATAATAAAAACAGTTACTAGATTGTAAAACAAATTTTTAAATATATATGAGATAATTAGATTCAAGAATTATTATATAGGTGGAAGGGGATATATGTAAATTTAAGTGTAGATACTAATATAATATTTTTTTTTTATATATGTAGATACGTAAATACATAATTTCACCGGAATATAAATATTTAGAGAAAAGAAAGTTTATTATAAGATCAAGCAGAGTTAATAAAAGAGAAATATTCCAAAAAGACTGGATTAAATTTATAAGAATAAATGATACTATAGATTGGGATGTAAAGCAAAAGGATTAAAGGTAATTAAAATAGTAAAGTTGAGTATTACTTATGAAAGAAGAGACAAAAAATGTGAAATATTACTTAAACTGTGCATTGGGAGGAGCATTAAGTTGTGGCCTAACACACACAGCTATTGTTCCAATAGATGTAGCTAAATGCAGAATACAGGTTTATCCTGATAGATTCAGGGGCTTAATTCCAACACTTTCAAAATTAGTAAAAAATGAAGGATTAAAAACATTGAGATTGGGATGGGCACCAACTTTAGTTGGCTATTCAGCACAGGGTGCATTAAAATATAGCTTATATGAATACTTTAAGGATTTATATTCTAGTAAGATAAAAACTGTGAATAAAAAGTCCTATAAAGGGTTAATATGGCTTAGTGCATCAGCAACAGCAGAGTTTTTTGCAGATATAGCATTATGCCCAATGGAAATGGTTAAATTGAAGATGCAAACTTGTTTAAGGCCACATACCCGGTCTAATTCTTTTCTGAGATCAGTTAGTAATATGTACAAGTATAGATCTGAAACGAAGTTTCCTTTTGGAAGTATTAAGCCCTTGTGGTCTCGTCAACTTCCTTATACAATGGCAAAGTTCTACTTTTTTGAGAGAATTAATCAGTTATTTTATGATAAAATTTTTACAAAACCCAAAGCATTATATAGCAAGAAATCCCAACTTGGTATAACATTTTTATCAGGATATTTATCTGGAATTATATGCGCTGCTGTATCTCATCCAGCTGATACAATAATTTCTCAGCTTGGAAAAACTGCGTATAACACCTCAAAAAGAATTAATATATTGTCTATTATTAAGGAAATTGGTCTAAAGAATTTGTGTACTGCAGGTTTGGGTACACGAATAATTATGATTGGTACATTAACAGGAATGCAATGGTGGGTCTATGATTCTTTTAAGACTATGATTGGCTTAGATACTTCTGGGAAAAGCAAAGTTCAATCCCAAGTTTAAGCTCCAATATTTAAAAGTACTTTCTAAAAATATAAATCAACCATCTATGAATCTTCTCATTTACTGTATATGTTTATATTAGTAAATTCCTTCTAGTTTTTTTATTATTTATTATAATTAAAGCTTTTTTAAAAAATATTACACTAAATTTTACCTTTCTATTGAATATTTCATTATTATATTTTATTTATTCATCCACATTATGTTCGCTAAAACGCCGGTATATGAAATTTTTGTTCATGCAAATTTGCATGTGGATTTTTGCATGGGGGGGACATAATTAACACGTAAGAGGCATCAATATATATTTGAATAATAAATATTATGAAAGAGTTGGAATAAATTATAAGAAAATTTTTGATGAGGGTGATTGAATTAATTTATAAATTAAAAAGTGAATATAGATTAAAAGATTAAGTAGATAATTTAAATCAATAAATTTTAGAGAAGAATGGCAAAGAGAAGCAAGGAAGAAAGTGGTAGTATGGAGGAAGAAGGAATAGGTTTAAATGAAACACAACAGAGTAAAGCAGATGAGGATAACATGGAGGGGAAATCTCAAGGTAGGCCATCAAGAAATTCAAGAAAAGCCATAAAATATACAGATTTTGATGATGAAGATGATGAATTGGATGATTTCGAGAGTGATTTTGATGAGGATATGGATTTGATAAACGAGGAAGATGAAGATGGTAGTGATGAGGATGATGATTTAGATTTAGAAGATGAGGAATTTGAAAAAAGTAAAAAAGTTAAAAAGAATGCAACAAAGAAAAAAGGAGGAGAATCCAATATTTCTAAATCTACAAAACCAAAAAAACCATCAAAAGAAAATTCAATTGAAGATGATTTTGAATCTGAAGAGGAAGATAAGGGCCCGAAAACAGCAAAAAAGAAAAAGTTATCTGCTCCGAAAAACTTAACAAAAAGGAATGTTGCAAGTTCAGGTGGAGGATCTACAACAGGAGATGCAGGAGAGGCAATATTTAACTATATGAAAGAGCAGAATCGGCCATACTCAGTACAGAATGTGGTTGACAATTTACATAATGTATATTCAAAAAAGCAAGTTACTGATGAAATGGATCGTCTTGCTACAGAAGGGAAATTTGTATGCAAAGAGTATGGAAAACAAAAGGTATATTTAATAGACCAGAGTGATTGCAAGGAATTAAACAAAGAGGAGATGGAGGCTTTAGACAAAAGTATTTTATCTAGTGAGTCAGAACTGAATGATTTAGAAGCAAGGCTTAAACAGCTAAAACAAGAAACAAGAAACATAAGTGTACCATTGCCAATAGATGTATTAGAAGAAAAGATAAAACAAGAGAATCTTAAGGTGAGTTTTTTTATTAAATTTGTTGGTATATTAACCAGTATTTCATATAATTTTTTTTTTCAAAACATAATATATGATTATTTATTTTATCTTTTTAACAGAATGAATCACTTATGGAAGAGATTTCTAGAAAGGAAAAAATGTTAGGTGAAGATTGTGAGATTATTCCAGTTGAAAAGTTAAAGGAATTAAAAAACAACTTGACTAAGAAGCAGGTAAGTTATTTATTCAATATTGATTGCAAAAAATATTAAGTAAAATTTAGGCAAAGTTGAAGAAACTTAAAACTGCATGTAAATCTGCAGTAGACACTTTTTCAGAATCTATGGAAAGAAAAGTAAGTTTCAAGTACAAATAAAAACTATTCAATGATTTTGCTCAATTAAAATAATTAAAAATATGTATTTTATATTCAGGCTTCTGATTTAATGGAAGAAATTGGAATTGAAATGATTTAAATAATCAGCAAATAACTAATAATAAAAGCTCTCCCCACACTATTGGCGCGCAATGTATATTAATTATATATAATAGGTAATGCAAAATAATAATAGAACAAAAATAAAATAGTATAATAGCAAGAATAAGATAAAATAGATGATATAAGTTAGAAATTACATATATATTCATTTTTCTTGTGAAAAATAGAAAGAGAAATGAGTTTATTCGTTAAAAGTAAATATTTGAATAAGTATATGTATTTGACATTATAAATGCATATACCAAATAATAAGTAAAGTTATTTCATGTAAATTATTAAAGTATTTAAAAAAATGGATTCAAAAATATGGAATAAAAAGAGGTTTTTACTTAGTGGATTTGAAGATAATGAGTATAATCTAATCAAAAAAAAATATATCGAGAAAAATGGAGGTAAAGTTTTGGAAATAAATAGTGACATTACAGATGATGATGTGGATTATTTAGTATGTAACTATTCAAAGGGATACAAACATAGGCATTCAAACATAGATTATCAAAAATTAAGGACCCCATTTTGGATATGGTTATCTGTAAATGACGAATGGAATTATTCATTAGGATGGCATCCTTTTTTCAGGCCAAATGGTAACTTTACATATGGTATTTTGAAAGGATTCCAGATATACCTTATAGGTTATAGTAGGACAATGAAAGGATTCCAAGATAGAGAAAAAAGTCCAAGATATATACGCAAGATAAATGATATTGGTATTTTAGTATCATTTATTGAAGCACAAATGGGAGGAAAAGTCATTTTTGATGATAATGAAAATGATAATGACGATTACAATAAGTTAAGCATAGTTAAGAGTGTAAAAAGTGTCACAAAGTTGGCACTTGTTTGCAATAAAGAAGAAGTAGGAGAGTTGATCAATACAGTTAAAGAAAAAAATAAAATTCAAACAGTGGTGAATTTAGAGTGGCTATTTGATTGTTATGATGAAGGAAGAATAGTGAGTTATAGAAAATATATATATCATGGCAGTAAAGAAGAACTTAAATCGAAAATAAGTATGGAAATGGAAAAAGAAAGGGAGGATATTGGAAATATATTTAAGATAATAATATCTCATCAAGTATATTTGAATCATAACGAAATGTATTATACAATGAAAAAATTTAGCAATAATGAAGATATAGAGATTGGACGTACGAGCAAGGAGGTGGTAAAGTATATTCAAAATGATGAGGAAAATCATTCACTAAAATGGGATAAAGAAACAATTTTGGTATTAATTTTTAATGATTCAATAGAGGAACAGGATTTTTGGTATGATTTGATGAATGCATTAGAGGAGAATGTAGTATTTAATATAAAGTTAGCATCAAAAGAGAAGAAAAATTATATATTAAAATACTTACAAAGAATGAGAATAATCAATGATCCGGAAAACTTATTTAATAAATTAATAAATTGTGTGGATAGTATTATACCATTAATAACTAAATTAGCTTCAAAAGTTGGATGTTCTATTCCTTCATATATTAGCGATTTTCTCACATCAGAAAGTGAGTTTTTGGATACTGTTTTAAAGTTCACAGATTTTGAAAATATTACTGGTTTGAGTGGTTTTATTGAGTATTCAAATGATAATCCAATAGATATTGTGAACTTGAATAGATCAAAAGCTATAAAAAGATTTGATGGTTTTGAGAAAGAATTTTCTACTAAGAAATTTAGTTGAGCTTTTTGAGTTGAGTTTAATAATGACTGCTTTTGTATTTTACATGTTTTCTTTTTCTATTTGATTTTTTATCTAAGAAGAAAAATATTTAATAATAATTACGTAATAAATGGATAATATTAAAAAAATTCGTATTTATTACGAATTAATTATTCATAAAATTAATAATTAATTACGTGTCAACATTATTATTATTTTGATACCGGTATTAATTTTTAAATTGCACGTATAAAATTGCATGTATGCATAATAAATCTATGTGGACAAATAAATTCGTATAAGATTAACGAAAAACAAAAATTAACGGAGATGATGAAGAGGAAGAAAATTATGAATAATTAGTTTTTTCATTTTTAGTTTATTAATTTGAATTTTATTTAAAAATAAAATTTTTTAATTTATATTTTATTTTTAATTTAATTCAATTATTTTAAATTTATAAAGCAATAATTACTGGTTATTCCATAACTTATAATAACTTTGAATTATTGCAATATTATAATTATTCATCAATTTTTTATTTTGATAAGAAGAAACACAAATTAGCAAAAGCTAAATTGAATTACAAATAATATTAATATATTTAGTAAAAATATTATTAATACTTTTTATCATCGTAATAATATTTATAGTTTCAGTGTTGACTGAAGAAGAAATTAAAAATTTGGAAACTATATAATATACAAATATTAAATTTGTTGAAAGAAATTATTTAAGTAATAAAGATGGTCAAGTTTACATTAAAGAATACAGCAATTATCATTGTGATATTGGCATATTTAGGAAATGTTGTTAAATCACAGAAACAAGAAAAGACAGAAGTAAGATCACTTGGGCACAGAAGAGGAGGTGTTGTAGGAGAACAAACAGTATTTGTTGATCGCCCATATTTTGTAGAACAACCATTATATTATCCATATCCTTATCAATATCCATATACATATACATATCAATATCCATATACATATACATATACATACCCATATACATATCAATACCAATATCCATATAATTATTCATATTCATACACAAGAACAACTTCAAGACCAGGAGTTTTATCACATCCAGTGGGTTATATGCCACCACCATATGCTCCATTACCTGCTCCATATTTGAGATATTTAGGTAATGACCCTGCATTATTAGAAAGAAAAATGGATGCAATCTCACCTATGGAAACCGTCACACCTGGATTTATTAATGATTTATCATTACAAGATGGAATTTTAGGAAGAAACGAAAATTTGAATAATGATCAAAATAATGCTAATTCTCAGAATCCTCCCCAACAAACTCAAAATAATCAGACATTACCTTCAGGAACAAAAAACGATGGTATGAATAATTTTGTAAATAGAGATGGAATTAATTTTGATAGATTTCCAGCATTATCAGGTTTGAATAGAATGGGATTGGCTGATGGTGAGAGAGAGATGGTAAAAGACAGAGATGATGATGATGATGATGATGATGATGATAATGATGATAATGATGATCATGATAAAAATGTCAAGAATAATTCACTATATAACCAGACAAGTGTTAGTGGTGATGCAAAAAAATATAATACTACAATGAAAACACCTGAAATAGTTTACTTTAACAACACATCTAATTTAAGAGTATTAGCAAAAAAAGGTTTATTGGAGCGAGTAGAAGAGAAAGTAAATGATGTTTTTGATGGTATTAAGAAGAAGATTAATACTAATGACGATAATGATGATCAATTGAGTGACTTAGAAAAGGAGGATAGCAATGATAATGAAAAAGATAATGATAAAAAAAAGAATTCAAATAAAAAAACACAAAATGGAAATAAAATGGTTAAGCAGGTATTTAGCACAATAGAGGATATTGTAACAAATACATTAAATAAGTAATATTAAAAAAAAGAAGTGTATGGATTAAAGAAAAGAATATTGGTTTCTTTCTGGTTATTCTTCTACTAATACTTACTATTATTATTATTAATATTAGTATTAACATTAATAGTAGAAGTAGATTAATTTTGGCGAGATAAGAAGTAATATATAGAAAATAGGCTCAAGAATGAAATAGTTCAGTAGTGAAACTCAAATACCTAGAATGGTACTTGGGAATACTGGGATATTGAATATTATTGGTAAACATAAGTCGGTATTTTCTATACTTTTCTTTTTTTTTCTTCCTAATTATATTTACTTATTTACAATATTTAGTAAAGGAAAAGAAAGAAGTAAATTGCTAGGGATAATTTGGTTATTTAAGGGTAAGGGTATAACAAATTACAATTATATTCTATATTTTATTATTACAGGTGAGTGAATTTTGAAAACAAAATAATTAAATATTACAAAAAATAAAAAAACAAGTGGAAATGGTATTAGTGGGGATGGGGAAATAATGGCGGGAGAAATAAAGGATAAAGGGGAACATTCAATAAATGTGTTGGGCGGGCTAAAAAATACATATTTTTTAATTTCAATTTGGATTTTACTTAAGTAATAAAAAAAAAAAGAGTACTCCATTTAAAGGGAAAAGTAGAAAAATAGTAAAATAGTATTAATAAAGGTTATAAAAGGACAAATAGTATTAAATAAATAATCAACTAGAAAAAATGGTATTAGTTGGAGATTTTAATAAGGAAATTATAGGATTATTTAAAACAAAGTATCCAACAGAGAAGGAGAAATTATTAGAATTAAATCTTTCAAGTATTAGTAGAAATCCATCATTTAATTGTAATTTATCATCATTATATGGAGGAAAAAACGGAAACAAACCCAAATGTTGTGAGGAAGGAAATGCATGCTGTGGGGAAGATAATAAAAACAGTGATAAGAATAATAAATTATTTACATTAGATGGTAGTTCAACATTAAAGTGGGATATGTTTTCAACACAAATGGAAACAAAGATAGATATGAATGGTATTGCTATAATGGAAGCAAAGACTACACCATATTATGGTTTAAGCTTAACATCAAAATATGAAAGATTTTCAAAAGGTTTAAGCTCATCATCTTCTGGATCAGGAAGTTTAGAGATTGGTGGAGATATTCAGAAAGAATATTTTCAATCAAGATTTAGAGTATCTCCTTCATTGGAATCTTTAGGATGTGTGAATAAATTAAATAAGGAAAATAAAGATAGTATTGGGATGATGTTAAGTAATACAATTACTATGAAACCATTCTCTTGTATTAATAGTTTAAGTTTTGGAACAATGATATCATCATCTAATGTAAATTTACCTTATAATAAAAATTCAATAAAGATAGTAATGGGATTAATGCTTAAAGGACCTTTATTTGTAAGAAAAACATTAAAAGAATGTGAATTATCTCAAAAAGGAGGTGGTAACTATTACAATTATCATAGTTTAAACCATAAGAAAGAGAATTTTGGGTCACGTTTTAAGAGTGGTATTAATTATAATGATCACGAAAATACAATAAAAGAAGAGACTTCTTCTTCTTTTACTCCAAACTATATTTTATCAATCCAAACTAATACAAACAATCACAATAATAAGTTATCTGGATTTACTGGAGGATTATTTTTAAATAACTTACTTAAAAACTATCTAACTTTGGGTGTTATGGTATCTTATAATGCTGCATTAAATAATGGAGGAAATTATCAAACTGTTAATAATATTATTGAACATAATACAGTAATGTCAAATAATCAAATAAACTCATTAAATGAATCTTCAAAAGCTTATAAAAGTTTTGCGACGTTTTCTGAAAAAGTTCAATATACTATAGGAGGAAAAGTTTCATTTGGTTCTATAGATAATTATTGTTTATTTGGTAAAAAATTAAATTTAGATTCTGAATATAATGGTAGTAGTAATACCGATGATAATTTAAAAAGTACAGATTTGAGATTTAAAATAATGAATAATTTTAAAATGGCTTATTCCTTAACACATAGATTTACAAGAAACATTTCAGCAACTTTTGGAGCTCAGGTTGATCCTAAAAAACTGGATAATCCAGACTCTGTAAAATATGGATTCATTCTAGACATTAATGCTTGAATTTAAGATTCTTAATAAACATAAAATAAATATAACAAGTGTTTAATTGTAAGATAGAAATAGTTTTAACTTTAGTTTTTGTTTCAATATTAGTATTATTAGTTTAATCATGAATAGTGCTAGTAATAGTAATAATTCCAATTTTTAAAGTAATTATTAAATTATATTTACTATTTATTACGTGTGAATTATCAATTGACACGTAAGCTAATTACAAATTACATGCATGCAAAAACAATTGGCGGGAAATTCCTGGTGACGTGAAAATTGGAGTTTGATTTGGATGCGGATAAAGACGGTTTATGAAGCTGGATTAGAGTTAAGAGGATAGTGATGAGGAAGAAAGAGAAGAAGCGAATATATCGTTACGAGTGTGAGCTGGGTTTTTATAAACTGTGCGAGTGGGGCTTAATTGATTAGATGGTTGAAGGGTTGGCATTGATGAGTAATTTTGGTAAGGGCTAGAGTTCGAGATATAGTAAGGGTCTTGAGGAAGATCTTCAATTCTTTGGTTTGCATCGGTACTAGATATTAGAAAATTGGTTTTTCCATTCATATTGGAATAAGATATGGGGGGAGATAAAGAAGAAGAAGAAGAAGAAGAAGATGGAGTTAAATTCTGATTTACCTTTCTTAAGTTTTGGGTTTCTTGTATTTGAGGTTGTTGAACAGGGAGTGGAAATGGGAGAGGTAGTTTTTCTGATAATTTAGACCGGTTTCTTGTGTTTAAATCATTGTTTAAAACTGGGGATTTATAACTTGAATAGTAGTACTGAGGTGGAGGAGGACTTGGAGTTGGAGAAGGAAGAGACCTCAAATCATCATCCTGGATCTGGTCTTGATTATGACCAATTTTATTTGTCCTTATTGCAGTTTCAGAATGAAGTTCATCAATCTCTAGGTCTCCATCTGAATATGAATGAGATACTGAGGAAGAGGATACAGAAGATGAAGAAAATGGAGAAAAGGCTGATAGTCCCGGCATATCCTCTACATTTGAGGCAGAGGATTTTACCTCTGGTATAGTATATTGAAACTCTAATGCCAGATCCTTTGATCGGGTAGGAGTCTGAACAGAATGTTGAACAGAATGCTGAACCGAAGCTGGAGCAAAGGATGGGATTGAAGACAAAGATGAAAAAGAGGATTCAAGCAGTCTATTCACGTATTCACGAGCAGATGATTTCTCGTTATTTGGTTCCTCATCACCTTTACTTAATGTCAATTTTTTATCCAACTCTGATACCTCTATAGAATTTACCCTTTTATTTACATTTTGAGAAGCTTCTGAAGAATTACCACTTGATGAAAATATATTCATAAAACCCAAATCACTCTTCTTTTCGTCTTTAATTTCTTTTTTCCTCATTCTCTCTTCTTTAAATTTAGATAATGAAGACATGGAAAATTCCATTGAATATTCAGAAGCAGAAAAAGATGGAGAAGAAATAATTAAACCATTCTCACTATTTATATTACTTCCCTCCTCCTTTTCACCTCCCTCTATTTCTAATTCAACTTCTCCTCTATTAATCCCTTTCCTTGTTTCCCAAACATTACCAGAATTCCAAAATGAAAAAATTGAATTCTTTAAAGATTTTGACTCAATCATCTTTAATTTCCATGAATAAAATATTCTATAAATTATCATATTCAAATGATTTACTCTTATTATATTTGTAATCTTCTCAAATCTTGATTTTCTTGTCTTTCTATAATATATATAAAATCTCCAAAGTTTAAAACATGTTATCTTTAAATTTCTACTCTTATTCTCCATATAACCAATTATTCTTATTCTTTGATTTCTTAATTTTAATGTATATTCTTTCCAAATAATAAAACATTCTTTAAATCTTCTTTTATAAATAATTATTTCCAAGTAATATTTATCTGCATTTTTTCTCATTATTAATATATTCTTTGTTTTAATCCCCCATTCTACCATAATATCTCTTATTATCCTTCTCTTTACTTTACTATATAATCTATATAAACCATCTCTTAAATTCTTCTGTCTTTTTGAATATCTTCTCCAATTTATAAATAAAGATGATTTCAATCTAAAGTCATGAACCCATTCTATTGTATCATATGCTTTCTTACACCAAATTAACCATTTTTTATATAAATAATACTCATTCATCCTTTTTATTGTATATTCAAATATATATAATCTTAAAAATCTCCCACTCTTTTCTTTTATTATTTTCTTCTTTTTAATTATTTCATATTTTATTGACCATATTAAATAACATTTTGTCTTTATTGTATTACCATATCTAATTCCCATATATTCTATTATACATCTATTCCTATAACTCTTATTGTATTTATTAACCCATCTTACTAACATTTCTCTTTCAATCCTTATTTTATTCTTATTTTTTATCATATCTATTATTCTTCTAATCATATATATTCTTTTTATATTATCTATCATTATAATCCATACTCTAGATAATATTATCTTCCTTAACTTAATTTCAAATTCTTTCATACCATTTTCATATCTTTCTCTTATACTTACATAATATTTCATTCTCATTAACATCTCAATTATTGCTCTGTTTCTTACTTGCTCTATTTTACTTAATATATTCATTATATTATCCACTTTTTTATTATATTTTATTAATAATATTAATCTCTTTAAATCATTCTCACTACATCTACAATCCATATAATAACTATATGTAATTCTTCTTTCTGTCTTTTCTTGTATTATGTTATTATTATTATTATTATTATTATTATTATTATTATTAATATGAATATGAATATTATTATGAATACTATTATTATGAATATTCATATTATTCATATTATTCATATTATTCATATTATTCATATTATCCATATTATTCATATTATTCTTATCACCATTATCCTTATTATATGTAAAAGAATAAAAAGATATAATTAATAATTTATGAAATGCATTATGTAATATTATCTTATTCAGTATTTTGAATAGTTCTTTACATACATTTACATAATGATAAGGTTTCCAAATACTTTTCCAAATATAAAAAATTTGACTTTTTATTTGAATTTCTCTCTTTAATCTTTGATTCTCTATTATTATTCTATATCTTTCTTCTTTTAATACCCTCTCTCTCCAAAATCTCATTGTTATTTTTAATATAAACTTATTATGTATGAATATCAAATTCTCATATTTTTCTTTCATCTCTTGTTTTTCTCTAAATCTAAAAATCCATATATTAAATATTCTTTTTTTCTCTTTTTCTACTTTTTTTAACATTATATATCCACATTTTTCTTTAAATTCTATTCTTTTTATATATATGGATACCATTTTACTATAGTATTCTTCTAATAACTTTTGAGATCTCTTATGAATAAATTGATTCTTTTTCTCTCTATATATTATTCTTTTCTCAGAATATTCTTTCCAATACTTTATACATTGTTTTAATATCTTTATTTTACTGTATTTTTCTGAAAAATATAACTTTCTCCAAATATGAAATATTCGAATTAATATTCTTTTATTTATATAATAATATATTCTATTCATTTTATATATCATAATCATACTTTTAAAATAATAAAACTTTTCTCTATGTTGAATAGTTTTTTTTAATTCTCTCTGTTTATTTACTCTTTCAATTGTTTGATTATACCAATAATATATAATTCTTTCTATTGGTTTTTTAACTATTACTTGATGATAAAATTGATATATAGCAAGTTTTTGATAATATTTATTCCTCCATTCTCTAATTACTCTTTTTATTAGTCTTTTTGAAATATAATTCAAAGTAAATTCTTGGCATCTTTTTTTAAGTAAATTTTTTCTTTGAGTTAAAAGTTTCCATTTTTCAAAATAAATTCTTTTATTATTGTCAAATATTTTACTTAAAATATAATTACCTTTTAAAATAATCATTACTCTTTTTTTAATTGGTATTTCTATATTTTTGATTAATTTATAGTAATTAATATAATCATTACTTTCTTTTCTCCAAATAATTAATATTTTTGTTAATATTCTCTTATTTACATAATTTCTAAGTAAATTTTCTTTATTTTGAGAATTTTTTTGATATTTACTTTTAATTTTCCAGAAATTTAATGCTTGTAATATTCTTTTCATCATATAATTACGATATAATAAATCTGATATTTGTATTGTAAATTTTCTTTCTTTTGATTTATTTTGTAATTCAATGATTACATTTTTATATAATGATATATTTATTTTTCTTTTAATTTTCTCCTCTTTTAAATTCATTTCACATTTCCATTTATATAATTGATTAAATGATATTCTTAATTTAAAATATTGAATTTTCATTTCCATAATTTTCATCTCTTTGATTAATATTTTCTTTTGTTCAATTCTATACATCATAGACTTTAACCATAATTCCATTTTTCTTTTTAATTTGGAATAATTCATATATATTTCCAGTGATATATCTAAAGTTATAGTTACCTGTTTTTCCATCTCTATGACTCTATTATACTGTAATTTAAATATAAATGAATTAATAAATTCATAATTTATAGAATCTAAGATTTTTTTTTTATAATAATTGATTTGATTAAATGACTTAATCATAATATAAAAATTTCTTCTTTTTATGATAATTTCAATTTTTCTTTGTTTTTCTTTAAATTCAATTTTTTTGGATACCATTTTCCTCCATAAATGAATGATCATTTTGAGTTTAATAATAAAATTGATATCATTTTTACTTTTTAATTGATTATATATGATTTTTTGTTTAAATAATTCATTTTCTAAAGATTTTCTCCATATTTGAAATACTTTACTCATTAATATATTTTGGTAATAATTTTTGGATATATTTTCTTGATTTCTTATTTTTTTAATTTGAAATGAAACAAATCTCCAATGATCATATATTAATTTTAACCTTTTACTTTTGATATGATTAGAATATTTATTTGAAATTTTTTCTAAAGATTTTTCAATAATATAATTTTCTTTTATTTTTATCCATGCCTTTGAAATAGTAAATATTTGTAATTTTTTGAATAAATGATTGAATAGTTTTCTTATGTTTTTTCTTTCATTTGATATTTGTTTCATTTGGATCCATGTTTTGAAAGTTTGTCTACTAACTTGAATTTTCAAATATTCATTAAGTATTTTGCGATTTTGATATTTTTGTTGATATTTAATTATCCATATTTGAAAGAATTGATGTAATAATTGATTATTATATTTTTTGTATAACTTTTGAAATTTTGTTTTTATATTTATTTTTTTAAAAAAATGATCTTTCCATTTGAAAAATAATTGTCTAATTAATTGATTTTGCTTAGATGTTATAAATTCCAATATTTTTTTTTTGTGATTATATTGGAAATACCATTTTTTAAAATAGGAATATATAGTTATTTTTTTGGAAATAATTTCGATTGTAGTATTGTTGAATATATTTTTCAAGTTTTTTCTTTTTCTGGATATAATTCTCCAAATAGCAAATATTTTAGATTCCATTGTAATATTGATTTTGTTAACAATAAATTGTTGTTTTCTTAAGAATTGTGAATAATCTCTCATATTTTGTAAAAATCGAATTACTATCATTTTGGAGAGAAAATGATGAATATATTTATTTTGAAAAGTTAGAATTCTCCAGTATTTGATTATAATAGTTAGTCTAATTTGATCTCCAAGATGATTTTCAATCATTTCTTGATTATTATAATATAACATATTAGCACGTAATTTTTCAAATCCTTGGGCTAATTTGTTGAGTATTAATAAATGAAATATCTTCCAAAATTGTGACTTTCTTATTTTGAAGGTATATATCATAAAATAGAATACTTTTTTTTTAATATTCATTGCTATTTTGACTCTTATACAATCAATAATCATTTTATTAGTTAAGGTTTTAAACCAGACGTAATTCCAAATTTGGTAAGTTGTTTTTAAAATTCTGGTTTTATATTTAAGATTGATGGTTTTTTGCTTAAATTGGGTTATTTTATGAATATTTATATATTTTAACCATTTTTCCCAATGAATTTTAGTTAGATTTTTTTCAAATATATTTTGAGCATTTTGTAACTTAATTTTATGTTGAGCATAACTACTACTATTCCTTTTAAATACTGTTAATACATAATTAACCAAATATAAAGCAGATTTATCTTTTAATATTTTGGAATTTCTTCTATATATTAAGTATTTTTTAAGAGAAGAAAATGCGTTGAATAATAAATGACGTCTAGCTGATAATCCTGATATAATTAACATAGTTTTCTCTCTATAGCTTTCTTGAGCTAATACATACCATAAATTAAATACTATGAGTTGAATGTTAGTTTCATTTCTTCTTTTTACAAGAAGAAATTTGTCTCTTTCTTGTTTTTTAATAAATACTACAGTTCTCCATCCTTGTAATAATTGTAGCATTTTATTGTTAATGAGAGCAATTTGCCACTGTAATATGGTATATCTTTTATTCATAGAGTATTGCAATAATATTAGCCAATTATTAAATATTTTACTTAATCTCATATTTTCTATAAATTTGAATTTTTTGGCCATAAGTTCTCTATTGTTTTTTTTCCACTTGACATAATTTAGATATCCGAATATTAATCTTCTTTTTTTGTTATTTTCCATTTTATTTTTGATAATAATCATTTGAATATATTCATAATACCATAGTAAAAAGATTTTTCTTTGGATTCTTTCTTTTAGAAATTTTTGAGATTTCGTATGATTAAGGAACTCAATATACCATAATCGAAATGTATCTTGTAATAAGTGAGTTAAATAGATTTTCTTGATATAACAAGATATTTTATATTCATGCCTTCTTTTTAAATAATGATCTTTATACCAATAAGTTAAAGAATACCTTAATATTTGTTCATTTTTTTTTTTAATTATATACTCTTGTTTAACAGAATTCAACCTTTCTTTCATTGAGATTTCAAACCAATCTCTTAATATTCTTAACTTTGTTTTTCTTCTTTTTTCATTCCCCACATAGGATTCCAACTCTAATAATATCTTTCGTTTTAAAGTATATAAGTACCATTCTTTAATTATCCTAGAAACAGTTTTTTGTGTATAATGTGCAATTGCACTACTGTATTTGTCAAAATCTGTGAATTCATTGTTTGTTTTATCCACCATATATCATGAATAATTCCTTTTTTAGTTGAGTGTTAAGAAATAATATATAATAGAGCAATAAATGTTTGTCTGAAGAGTTTTTTTAAAAGAAATTGTTGATTATTACCACTTTTTTTATCAAAAATCTTCTTGTTTTTAATTTTTGATGAATTTTTTGTAGTATATTTAATTACTTATCATGAATATGAATGATTTTTCCGCAAATATTGTACTCTTTTTAGGGAAAAAATCACTTTATAATGTCAAGGTGACTAAGAAATCGTTCTTTCTCTTTCTTAATTGCTTTTAAACCAAAAAAATTAACTTGAATTTCTAATATTTAATCTTTTTAGAACTTTAGTTTGTATTTATATTTTTTCCATGTGAAATTCTCGCACATTTGGCGCCAAAAATGGCTAAGGAAATTTTCTAAAATGATTAATATTAATTTTAATTACATGATTAGGTATGAATACTCAACGATTTATGAATTTTTAATTTTTTGTTTTGTATTAATAGTTAAACTGAATATTTTTTTTGTTATTAAATAGCTTGTTTTTTTTCTGCTGACTTTGATCCGAGATTCTTTTATTCAGACATTTTTTCTATCATTAATTTTACAATATCCCATAAACTGGTTATCTTTTGTGAATTTTTTAATTAGAAAATTCCATTTTTATTTATTTTTCATATCTATAATAAAATGAGATTTATTTTGTTGTATATACAGTATATACTTGCATATTGTAATATACTAGTAAAACAATATACTTGGTAAACTAGTATTTTACAATAAATTCTACCAATTATTCAATTCTACCATTTTTACTATTTGACTATTACTAATTAAATCAATATTTATTTGTATGAACTTAAAAAAAATTCACACAGGAAATTGCCTTTTTTCCCCACAGAACTATCACAACTACTACAGGAATAATTAACGGTAGCAATGCAACCTCTGCATGCACTGCATGCAGTTAATGTGGACAGACAATTATTGATTCAAAAAAAAGCCAGTTTGGCGGCAGTTACTAATATCGGTAATTGCATTAATCATTTTAGTGAAGATGGAGGGATTCAATTAGGAAGATAGAGTGGGAATATGGAAATATAGAAAACTGGGGATGATACAAAAGCAATTTGAGTTAATTAAAAGCCAAAAACTTGCAAATAAAAACCAAATCTGTTGAAAACAAATTAGTGCAAGAGAAATTAAAATTGATTTAAAATGACTTTTGTAAATTTTTAGTAAAAATAAAATAAAAATTTTCCCGCCAAAACAAGGGTTACTATTATATAAAGCAATTTAATTTACTGCAGTAATAAATTATTTTATATTTAATTGCCCCATGAATAAAAATAGCAAATAATTTGGCGGTAATTCTGAGACACAAATATATTAAAAATGATAGTAAATAATCAAAATAAGAATATTTAAGGTAGTGAATAAAGATAAATGATTGATATAGGTTGAGTACGTATAAAATGACAAATATAATTTGAAATGTAAAAAATGAATAGTAAAATGACATAATAGAAATAGTAAATAATAGACACAGCTATTTATGAGGGGAAAATGTCAATTTGTCTCGTGAATTTAAAGGCAAATACAAGTTACCCCAACTCATTAGATAAATAGTTTATTTCATTTTAACTGATTTAATAAATTCTTATCGAAACTAAAGAAAACAAGATGGCAGTATCTGAAGGTCCAGCTATTGGTATTGATTTAGGTACCACATACTCGTGTGTTGGTGTATGGAGAAATGATACAGTAGATATTGTTCCAAATGATCAAGGTAACCGTACAACACCATCATATGTAGCATTTACAGAGACTGAGCGTCTCATTGGAGATGCAGCAAAGAACCAAGTTGCTAGAAATCCAGATAATACAGTCTTTGATGCTAAACGTCTTATTGGTAGAAAATTTGACGACCAGGCAGTGCAAAGTGATATGACTCACTGGCCATTTAAAATAGTTAGAGGCCCAAAAGACAAACCAATTATTAGTGTAAGTTATTTAGGTGAGAAGAAGGAATTCCATGCTGAAGAAATTTCTGCTATGGTTTTACAAAAGATGAAGGAGATTTCTGAAGCATACTTGGGACGCCCAATTAAGAATGCCGTAGTTACTGTACCAGCTTATTTCAATGACTCTCAACGTCAAGCAACTAAGGATGCAGGTGCAATTGCTGGTTTAAATGTAATGAGAATTATTAACGAACCAACAGCCGCAGCTATTGCTTATGGTCTTGATAAGAAGGGAACTGGTGAGAGAAATGTTTTGATCTTCGATTTGGGTGGTGGTACATTTGATGTATCATTATTAACTATTGAGGATGGTATCTTTGAGGTTAAGGCTACTGCTGGTGATACTCACTTAGGTGGTGAAGATTTTGATAACAGACTTGTAGAATTTTGCGTACAAGACTTTAAGAGAAAGAATAGAGGTATGGATTTAACTACAAATGCCAGAGCTTTAAGAAGATTAAGAACTCAATGTGAACGTGCAAAGAGAACTTTATCATCTTCAACTCAAGCTACTATTGAGTTGGATTCACTTTATGAAGGTATTGATTATTCAATTGCCATTAGTAGAGCTAGATTTGAAGAACTCTGTGCTGATTACTTCCGTGCAACTTTAGCTCCAGTTGAGAAAGTACTCAAGGATGCTGGTATGGACAAAAGATCTGTACATGATGTTGTTTTGGTTGGTGGTTCTACTCGTATTCCAAAGGTCCAAGCCTTGATTCAGGAATTCTTTAATGGAAAGGAGCCATGCAAAGCAATTAACCCAGATGAAGCTGTTGCCTATGGTGCTGCTGTACAAGCTGCTATCTTAAATGGTGAGCAATCTTCTGCTGTTCAGGATCTCTTGTTATTAGATGTTGCTCCATTATCACTTGGTTTGGAAACTGCTGGTGGTGTTATGACTAAGCTTATTGAGCGTAACACAACTATCCCAGCCAAAAAGACACAAGTCTTTACCACTTATGCCGATAACCAAAGCGGTGTATTAATTCAAGTCTATGAAGGTGAAAGAGCCATGACTAAGGATAACCACCTTCTTGGAAAGTTCCACCTTGATGGTATTCCACCAGCACCAAGAGGTGTACCACAAATTGAGGTCACTTTTGATATTGATGCTAATGGTATTTTGAACGTATCCGCTGTCGATAAGAGTACCGGTAAAAGTAGCAAGATCACAATTACTAACGATAAGGGTAGATTATCAAAGGATGATATCGAACGTATGGTTAATGATGCTGAGAAATACAAGGGTGAGGATGAACAAAACAGACTTAAGATTGAGGCCAAGAACTCCTTGGAGAACTATCTCTACAATATGAGAAACACTATCCAAGAACCAAAGGTCAAGGAGAAGCTTTCTCAGTCTGAAATTGATGAAGCTGAAAAGAAGATTAAGGAAGCCCTTGATTGGCTTGAACACAACCAAACTGCTGAAAAGGATGAGTTTGAACACCAACAAAAGGAAATAGAGACCCATATGAATCCACTAATGATGAAGATCTACTCTGCTGATGGTGGAATGCCAGGTGGAATGCCAGGTGGTATGCCAGGTGGTATGCCCGGTGGTATGCCAGGTGGAATGCCAGGCGGTATGCCAGGTGGTATGCCAGGTGGTATGCCAGGATCTAATGGTCCAACTGTTGAAGAAGTCGACTAATTATTTTGGTTACTTAAGACTGATAAAAGAATAAACGACTATTTACGCGTACTTTCAATTTCTACCTACTTTTACCATAATCATAGGGAAAGCACACTATTTATAGGCTGTAATTCCTATCTAGCCTAGGCTCTTTACATGAGCATTAGAAATATTCTACCAGATTCTCCCGCCATAAATTTGGCATTTCCTGGTTTATTGGTAAGTAATCAGATTATTCTGATTTATCCAATTTTTCAAAGAGAAAAGCGGAATATCTAGATAGCTTGAAATGAAGTATATTTTCTTGCTTATTTGAGACATCTAGTGCTTAGTTTAGCCTATTTTCCGGGTGATATTGAACATAAGATGAAGATTAGTCATTTAAGTGCTTTCTTTTCGTCATGAACTGGTATCTGTCATGGCTTAGTTTTGTTAATCTTTGGTTTGTTTTGAAATCGTTAATTGACTCAGAAACTTGTTTCGCTTTCAATTTGATGTATTGATCTACCTAATTGTGTAGTCATATGGATAAATATTCACTTTTTTTTCTTTTCTTCTGCTTGAGATCAATGCTTAAAAAGTTAAAATATATTGCCGCCAAAAACATGCATTTACCTCAGGGTAATAATATAAGGTTGTGAATATAAGAAAAAAATTATTATCTTTAAAATAAATAAAGAAATGAACTGAATAGAGGAATAAAGAAGAATTACTAAAGTCTATAAAATCAGTTTTTTGGAAACATTTCTTCTGATTGCATGAAATCAATATTAAAAAAAAAACTTATTATTTTGTTAAATTATTAATTTTTCAAATTAATAATATAAATTCAAGTTGTGCGCCAAACACATTCATAATTACCCATTTTCAAAAGAAATTAAATATATTAAATAACAAATAAAAAACTTATCAAAGCTAAAGTACACAAAAATCTCTTCTCAAATCACTTTTAGTAATACAATAAATAGATAAACTAGGTGATTATTATAAGCAAGTAAAATTTATTTTAAAAACTTAATAAATAGGAATTACAGGGAGTGGGAATCACATTAATATAAACTGAAATCATGAGAATTTTGTTTTCTTTGCTAATATCATTGTTTTTCAGTGCAAAGCTAAACCACTTTTCTGAGGCAAATACTATTTTAGATTTAAATAAAGTAAACAGTAGTAACGAACGTCAAAAGCTATATTCTGACTTTCTTAAAGAATATGGCAGTGATTACAATAAAGAGGTAGAAGAAATATCACGAGTAGAGTTAAAAAGGTTTGAGGGACAGACATACTTGGATTATACAGGTTCAGGATTATACCAAAAATCACAATTGGAGGAAATTTACACGGATTTTATAAATAATGCATATGGAAATGCTCATAGTAGAAATCCTTCTGCAGAATTGACCAATAGAAAATTATCAGAAGCTAGAGAGCTTTTGTTTAACTTTTTTAACATAAGTAAAGATACTCATACAATTATATTTACAGGTGGTGCAACTGGGGGGTTAAAGTTAATAGGAGAAGACTTCCCCTGGACAAAGCATAGTAAATTTTACTATACTAGAGTAAATCACAATTCAGTATTAGGAATAAGAGAATATGCAATTTCTAAAGGAGCTGAATTTAAAGCATTATCTTTCCGTGATGTGGAAAAAATATTAGCTGAAAGGGAAAGTAATTACAAAGAAAATAAAGATATAAAGTATGATCATATGTGTTTATTTGCCTATCCAGGTAAAGATAACTTTTCTGGAGAAAAGTATCCACTAAGATGGATAAAGCAAATACAAAAATATGGTTTATCTGATAATTGTGAATGGAAAGTTATTTTAGATGCAGCAGCAATGGTTCCTAATGAAAAATTAGATATTACAGAAGTTTCAGCAGATTTTGTAGTTGTATCATTTTATAAAATGTTTGGGTACCCTACAGGACTTGGTGCATTAATTTCAAAAACTGATCAAGTTAATAGATTTAATAAAGTATATTTTGGAGGAGGAACTGTAGTAATGGCTTCTTGTGATTCTAGATGGTGTAAAATGCGTGATAATCCGAGTGCAAAATTTGAAGATGGTACCGTTTCTTTTTTAAGTATTGTATCGCTTAAATATGGTATAAGTAAACTTCAGTATTTTGGTATGGATAAAATTAACAAACATATTTCGTCTTTGTCACTATTTACTTTTAAACTTTTATCTCAATTAAGGCACTTTTCTGGAAGTAATGTTGTTCATTTTTATGGAAGGTTTGCTTCTCCTCCGACTGGAGGTATCATAAATTTTAACTTACTTAAACCAGATGGAAGTTTTGTTCATTATTTTCAAGTTGAACAAATGGCATCAGATAATAATATTCATTTAAGAACTGGATGTTTTTGTAATCCTGGAGCATGCCAAGATTATTTAGGTCTCACTTTGGAAGAGATTCAAATTACAAGTGAAGTTAAGGAGAATTGTAGTGACCCAGCTGCAGGTTTAGCTGGTAAGCCACTTGGATCAATTAGGATCAGCTTTGGGTACCTTTCAACTTTTAATGATGTTTTAACTTTTTATGAATTTATTAAAACAAATTTTGTACATTAAACAAAAAATTTAAAAATAAATAAATATTTTTTTTTGAGTAGTTATTTAATAATAAAGTTCTTTAAGTTATGATTAGTTTCATTTTTATTGTTTGCTTCCTCAACCCATGCGAATGTATTGCATTTCTGTTGGTCTGATTTTGAACAACCCCAATATAATTTTCCTTTATTTATGCCAGGTTTGGTTACCTTCTTCTTTATGCATGGAATACCGTGTTTACAGTGAGGGTAGTTTGAAGAAAGCTTTTTAGATGAATCAGAGTTCTTACAATTTATTTTAAAGTCTTGGCTTTTAATTGTTTTATTGCATTGATTTTTAATTTCACCTTTACTTAAAACTAAAAACTGACTGATTGTACTTTGTTTTTGTTTGCATTGAGGTAAGTACCTTGAACATATACTTGGAGGTTTACTTCTACCAAGACTACACATAGATTCAGGTTCTTTCATCTTTAGAATTAGTAAAATAGGGCAATGATCAGAACCGTATATGTGATCCAAAATCTCACATTTTGTTGATTCTGATACCATTTCTTTTGAAATAAGAAATAAATCTATTCTAGCTCCTTGATTTCTAATCCTAGACTGATTCATCTGGTTCCAGCATGTGTATTTACTCTGAATTTTTGGATAATAGTGCCTATAAACATCAACTAAATTATATCTTTTAATCATTTCAGTGTTCAACTTTCTCATTTCAGAATATATTTGATCAAACGAAGATTTCTCTAAAATTTCAGTTGGGTTTAATACTTGGCAATCTTCCAATTTATTATCTCCAAGAAATCTTCGAAAATCTGCAAAACAATCTATTTTCTCCAATATAATATTAAAATCTCCCGCCAAAATAACTTTTCTTCCACACAAATGTTTAAGTACATGCAGTGACAAATTAAGGTATTCATGAAACGCTAGTCTGTACCTCAATCTTTCTGGGTCAACATTTTCTAATGGTTCTTCTTGGGTTTGATTTTGATTTTGTGTCTGAATCCCATTGAATAGAACTTGTTCTTTTTCTTCTTTTTCCTCTGTCTTGCTTCTTAGTAAAGGAACATACAAATTTAGCAATATAAAATGTTTGTGATCAGTAATCACACATCTACCTTCTCCATTTATTTCAGAGATGGTTACTCCATATTTATCTTTAATATTAGTAATACTTAATTCAATATCTTTCAAATTTTCTTCTTTCATCATTTGGTTTATGTCAAACTGACGGGGAGATGTCTCTAGCCATGAAAATCCCCTTCCCGCCTCAATTACCATAATAGTATCCTTTAAGCAGTATGTTGCAACTCCACTATATCTTTTATTATTCTCAGCAAGAGAAAAGTAGGATTCATAGTTTTCGGGGCATCCTGTTGAGTTGTTTAAATCCTCTTTAAAGCTCATCTTGCACTCCTGAATACATATGATATCTGGCTTTTCTACATTCAGGCAATTATTTTTTACCTCTTCATTTACACATATATTTTCAATTAATCTGGAAAAAGTTGATTCTGTGTAACCTCTTCTTTTCATGAATGATATTAAGCCATTTACATTGAACGAAATAATCGATAACTCCCTCATTTTCGTTAATTACTCTTGTTTTTTGCTTTGGCCTTGGTTTGGCCTTACTTTATCCTTACCTCTCACTAGTCCCACTCTATATTTCTAGTAATGCTCACACTCTTTTCGTTTTTTACTTAATTATTACCGAAAATAATCAATGAAAAATAGTAATAGTAAAATGTATGTTATAAAGAGTGTTGTTGTGGGTAAGTGAAAAGCAACAGCTAATAAACAAAAATACCTCCTTTTTTCAAGCCCTTGTAACTTTATTTCTTTTATACCTTACTTTATTTTGTTTATATTGGTAATTGTTATGGTTGGCGCCTTCCAACACATACATTATATTGGTCATTTAATGTTAGAGCGGGCGGGAAATGTGGAAAAGTAAAAATGTATGTAATGTATTAAAATAGAGAATAAATAATTAGGAAAAGAATTTAAAGAAAAGTAGGAAAGAGAAAAGAATAAAGTAGAAAGGAGAAATAAGATATATGGTTATTATAATGTATGAAAGAGGGGAAAAATCTAAAAGACTTTCATAAGAAGCTGTCTTGAGTTAAATTTTAAAATAAAATGATCAGAGATCTCGGTGGAAAAATATTTCATCCCGATTACTTGCTGTATTAGAGCGTTTACCAGTCTTATGTAGCAAATACAAAACCATCATCACCTCAAAGTACTTTAAAACTAACTCAAGATCCACAACTATTACTAAAAAAGACTGAATATTATCATTTATGATGGATATTAAATTTGTTTCTCATTCTTCCAGTACTAAAATAAGAAGTAGAAAGTGCGAATATTAAATCATAATATAGAAAAGAGAAATGTATTTTATTTGCTATTATAGTAGTAATTGAAGCAGCTCTTTTATTTTAAAAATATATATAATGGCCAAAAAATTCTTAAATTACTCGTCATCTTCATTATTACCAGAACTCTTTCTTTTTTTCTTTTTCTTCTTCTTTTCTGACGATTCATCATTGTCCATTATTTCTTGTTTGTCTTCTTCATTATGTTCACTGCGAACACTTTCGTGGCTTTTTCTCTTTTTCTTCTTCTTTTCAGATTCTAGTTGGCTAGGAACTGTACTTTTCAAAATATCCTGATTTTCAGAAATAGCTTCTCTCATTACATCAATATTTTTAGGTGGAGAAATACCTTGAGATAAGTATTTGAGACGGTCTTCAACTTGTTGTTTAAGCTTCTCACCAAAAATATTATTATTTGCTGTAGAAAAGTTATCTATTCTGGCTGCTATTGAGCACTTATTTGCTAAATATCTAGATATCCTACCTTTATTCTTTTGTGATGCCTTACCAATATAAGTGGATTGGAATAGTAACCCATACTTAGGAGTATTTCCCTTACTCTTTAAAGCTCTAAATAATGCTTTTTCAGCGCCTAATACTTGTATTGTTGAAGCCGGACTTTTTGCTAAATTAACCAAACTACCGGAATGAGCAATTAATCTTGCAGCTAAAGTATCTCCTAATAAACTTTGTAGATTTGGAGCGACATTATATAACCTGCTGTTAAGATATTCAATAAGATGTGATCTTTGTTTATATAATTCTATTAACTGTTTTGCAAGATTCTTAATCATATTTATATCATTCTCAGTAATATCTTGACCCATACTAATAAGAACAGAGGAAAATATATCGTCCTCTAAGCTGGGATCATCAACAATCTTTGAAATTTTCTTCCTAGTTTCCTCATTATCTTCAAATTGGTCCTTATTACCAATTAAAAGAGCAACTTTAAGAAATTTCTCTGTATCGGTAATAATTTTAGCCAATTCTGGAAAATGCCATGAGTACCATTCTCTACATCTCATTGAAAAAAGATTAATATCCTTATCAAGTCTATCTATTAAAGCAATAGACTGTACAATAGATTTATCTTGTTTATTTGGGTCAAATTGTAACTTATTTCTACTAAAACTGTGGCCTAGACCAACTTGAAATTTGTGTAAATCACCAATAGATGAATCAAAAGATTTGACTATTCTTGTAAAATGAATTCTAATACCTCTTAGTAATTCACTAATATTCTTATCAATAACCACTGGATATCCCTGATCTGATAGAGTTTTTCCAAGAGATGCATCTCCAACTCCTAAGTTGTATTTCTTCACCTTTTTAGGTAAATTCTGTATTAGAAAGGTTTTGAGTTCTTCAGTTGCATTACCATTTTGAATTTCCTTCATATTTTCCAGAGCCATTTCTGCTGTCTGGAAAGGAAAGAATGCAAAAAATTGTGCCACTTGACCGAATCTCATTGGATCTGCACATACTTCAATAACTGACTCCGTTACCTGACCAATTTCTTCCCAATTATCTATAGCACATAGCAAATAGCCTGCTGCACTTTCAAACAGGACATAAAGCTTCTTATTTCCAGACATTTTGGATTCTTGTAGTTGAATAAATAATATATCCAATTAGCCTTTAATATTTTCTTTTTAATTATTAGTCAGAATCACTTACTAATTAATAAAAACCTTTCTTTTCCTTTAGCAAGGTGATATGTAAAATGAAATTAGTTGCAATATTACCTGCGTCTTTAATCTTAATTAATTACTATCTTCTTTTCAAGAAGTTTAACTATTGAAACTAAAATGTTTATCTCTTTGTATCTAATTAACTTATTAAAGTTTCTCTTTCATAAATACCTCCTAGCCAACTTTACTTGTCCTCTTTTATTGTCAATTCTTAATTTATCTTGTCATTCGCGACACGAGACAGATATTTATTATTTCATTATATTTGTATTTATTAATAATAATAATCATTACTATTATTATTATTATTATTATTATTATTTAACTTTTCCTATAGTCAAATTATAACTATTTTATTCTTGAATTGATGGCGCCCAAATGGTAAAATACCGGTCATAAAACCGATACCGGACAATTTTGGCGCCCGTGTGTAAAATAGCAATAAATAAAAAAGGGGAAAATAAGTTAAAATAAATCAAGAATTAAAGTTCAACACACAAATTGCAAATATATGGAGGTTTATGAGAAATTTATAATAATCTATTCATGTAAATGTATTTATATAATATAAGTTTCCAATAACATAAATATAAAGAAATAAAGTGAGTTTTTTGTTACGAAATGAGCTTTAATGAAAGAAAAGCGTTTATACTTGTAGACACTTTAAATATAATTGCTATTCGTAGTTTGTTAAGATTTGAGCCAGTTCATTCTGCGTGGGGATACTTTTGGGATGTATTGACTTGACAATTTTTTGTTGAGCTAGAACCCAAACATTGTCACAGTCTTTAATAGACTCTGCATGATGAGCAACTATGAAAATATTGCAATGCTTGAAATGAGTGGCTAGTACTTTACTTATGTTTTGTTGTAGTCCTTGATCTCCTGTATTATTTGGGGGAGGTTCGTCAATAAGAATCATTCTGTATTGTTTTGAATGTATTACCAGCTTAGCTATAGAAAGGTACCTGAGTTGTGATCCTGTTAAAGATCCTGCATTAACATACAAATTATTTTTTATTTGAATAATAAAGGCTGGATCAAGCAAGCACTCATCTAGTCCTAAGGAAATTTCATAGTCAGTGAATTCCTCATATGGGTCTAGAAAGTCTCTGATGGTCCATCCTTTCAGTAACAAAGGCATTTGGGGAAGAACCCCAATAATTCTTCTTCTCTCCTTAATAGAAAGAATAGAAATAGGAATTTCATCCAGAAGAATTTGCCCTTTACTATATTCAACCAGACCAAGCAGAGCCAAGATTAGAGTAGACTTTCCAGACCCTGTTCTCCCCACAATACCAATTTTTTCAAAAGGCTGGATATTAACATTTATTCCATCCAAAACTACACTGTAAGATTTACCCATAATGTCACTATATCCTACCTCTAGATCCACAATCTTAACTCCTGTACGCTTTAAATCTGATTTAAAGGTCTCATTGAGAAGCTTGTGTCCCACGTTTTCATTTTCTAAAGTAATCTTCTTATTACCAAAGTTATTGAATCTATAATCTACAACGAAGAACAAATCATCATTAATTTCTTGAATTTCTATTGAGTCAAATCTCTTGTGAGTATTATAATTATTATTACTGCTGGTAACCTGATTCTGTATATTGGTGTAAACAGTATGGTTAAAATTCTTTTCTTTTTTGCTAATAATGAATGACTTAATAGAATTAGCAATAGTAGTTTTGTTATTCCCATTCAAACTTATATTGTCACTACCAGTTTCGGTACCTTGTCTGGATTTATTAGATATAAGAGTGAAAATCCTCTCAAAACTACACATATCTCTCTCCATAGACGCAAATCTATATGTAATTACGCTTGTGGTGTCTGAGATAAGTAAAGAGTATAGTAAGGCAAGATACCTCCAGTTACTTTCAACCGGTGTAAATAGTATAAAAATAACTAAAGGGAGAGTATATAGTTGAAGTCTGATAGCTGCCCACTGACTTGCAATGTGTTGAAGAAGTTCTATTCGTTGAAGATGCTCAATCTGGATAAGAAACTGGTTAAGAAGGTGCCCCTGTGCATTAAAGGCATGAATGACCACAATACCATTAATGAGCTGTGAAAAGAGGCCATACATTGGAGAAAGAACGGAAAGAGCAACTTTTTGTGCTCTAATGTAAGTAGAAATATAACGCTGACAAACTATTTTATATGTCATATAAGTAACCATTAATATAATTGGTAATGAATACGGTACTGCATAGCTTAATATTGATATTTGTATCAAGAAATCAATTGATGGAACAATTACTGAAGCAATTTTCTTGAGAGGGCTCTCATCCATTACCAACATATCTGTACTGAGTCTATTCATGAGATAAGAGGTGGGGGTTGAGTCAGAAAACCAAAACGGAGAAAATAGAATCTGGTGTATTAAGTTGTTGTGGACAATATTGGAGGCCTTTACACCCCCAATAGCTTCCCCAACAAAAAGTAGGGCACAAAGAACTCCCTGGAAAAGTACAATAAATGTGTAAATCCAGATAAAGTTTGGATTGTTATTGGAATCATTATAACTTATAAATGTATCGGAGTAGCGGTCAAAAATTGATTTGAGTATACAAGAAATAAGTAGTATTATACACCAGGTACGCCCAACCAAAGAAAAATACCACCAGTAAATTTCAAGAGTGTTTCTTTTCCCAGTGTTTATTTCAGTTTCAAGGAGTAAATCTGCCGGTAGGTTTACTGGCTTGTAAAATGTTTTATTGGAAGTCAGTGATAATGGAATCTCGTTGTTTAAAGTTGAAGGTGTGGCACATGTTTTAGATGATGTAGGGGTTGTTCCAATTATTGAATGAAAACTCTCTATGTTTATATTCTTGCTATGTAGAGCAGATATATGGTGGTTAATTCGGTGTATTACCTCCAACTCCTCATTTTTGGCATCAGACTTGTCCACCAACTTTGGCTCTGACGTCATGTGAAGTTCTAAATTTATTATATTTGAATCATTTGGCGCTAAACTTTGGTTACATGTGGACTCGTGCAAATTTTCTTGCATGCAACTGTTTCTTTGCATACATACCGGCGAAATAATTTCACCTTCCACATCACTATTACACACAAAATTATTTTCAAGTGAATTGTTGAGGTTGGGTCTGGAATTATTAATTAAAGCTTGGTACTCCACAAGTGAGCCCGAGAAAAATATATCGTGATTATTTAGATGCACGATTTGCAGGTTAGTTAAGTTATTCTCGGTTTCGTCATTGATAAAGTATAAAAGGGTGGTAAGGTCTATAGAAAGAACGGTTCTAGAATATGGGCTATTGAGGAATCCTTTATATCCAAAGAGCCTGGAGAATATTTTGGACCCCACATTGGGGTCCAGATTAAGGAAAATATCATCAAACAGAAATATTGCAGCCTCACTTTGGTGGTAAAGGCACCTAGCCAAAGCTACTCTGGTTTTTTGCCCTCCACTGAGTGAGGAACCTCCCTCATCAATAACCCTGAGGTCCCCATCCTTCCAAGATTGGAAATCATGTTGTAGCTGGCAAATGTCAGTAACAAGCATGTAGAGTTCTTCATTCCAAGGCTTGCCAAATAAGATGGCAGATCTTACTGTTCCCTGAGGAATCCAGGATGTTTGGCTGGAATAGGCATAGCAGAGATCATTGTCTTTACATTCAAGAATAGAGTTAATGACAGAAGTTTTACCACATCCAGAGGAGCCCGTGAAAATGATACATCTTCCCAAATTATTGGCTGAATTTTCTGAGAAACAGAAGTGAGATTTGATAATTCGGTGGCAATCAGAAATAAAAGAGTTATTGGGATTATCCGGGTACTGGTCATTCACTGATTGGTAGCTAGGAGACTTGCAAAATGACTTAAAGCATATCAACTTATTAGAAGACTTGCTTTCTCTTTTTTGGTCCGAAATCTTTGAATTCGAAAAGTCAATTGCTCCAGTAAATTCACAATTAGTACTGTTATCATCGTCTTCTGCAAAATATTCAAAATAATTATCAGAGTGGGAAGAAATGAATGTTCGAATTCTCAAAAGCGAAATAAGGCCTTCAATAAAAGTAACAGGAATTCCTCTAAGAGGTGAGGCAAGTGAGTGGAGTATATGGATTGAAGCAAGAGCAGAAGGAAGATCCAAGGAGGTTCCAATAAAAAGGTAGAAGATAATGAATACAATTAACTGAGTGGCTCTTTGAGTGTGGTATTCAAGAAAACTCCCAAACTGAGTTCTAACAAGACGCTTACGGTTTAAAGCAGTTTCTGTGTTTCTACTTTTCATAATTTTCTCAAAAGCTAGATCCTCTGCTCCCATAATTCTGATTACTCGAAGTATTCCAAGAATATCATGGCAAACCGAGAGTCTTTTGTCACGATACTCCATGAATGGTGCCTTGTAAATAGTCCCAAGTACTTGAAAGCCAAAGCTTGAGATAAAAAAGAATAAAAATGTAACAATTCCAGGTAAAGCTGCTACGAGGCCGACTTGTTTAGAAAGTAATTTCCAGGTTATCCAGATATTCACTGGTAGAAGAATGCAGTCTATTAACGAATTTAAGAATAGTTGAACTGCTGATATATCACCAACTAACATACTAAATACATCTGGTTCTGCAAGGAGATATTTAAGAGATTTGCTATAAGTTATTTTCTCTGGTTCGCTCTTAATTTTTGAAGAGTTTAAAATATCTTTGCAAATCTTAAATTCCTTATTATTAGATAATGAGTCTTCATCCTCTTCTATTCCAAATCGAATCTTACTAGAAATCTCATTCAAATCAACACTTAGAGAGATTTCATCTGATTCCCGCTCTCTTGGCTTTTCGGGCCCACGTGCAGATAAAAGCCTATAAAAGATTACTCCAGTCAGACCTGATTCAAGTCTCATTGTGACTCTTGCAAGGTAAAGTCTTGCATGTGCGTCTATCACTGACTTTAATAAATAAGCTGAGACAAGAAAAATACAGGAATTCAAAGTTCCAATGCCTTGATGATTTGAGACTGTTTGAGTAAAAACAATTGAACACAAACAACAAGAAAATAAGAAAATAAGCTTCAAAAACAAAGCATTTGCAATTGACCTTCCATATACTTGCAATAATGGAAGCCAGAAATGATCTTTTTTCTTTGAAAACGATTCTCTCAATCTATTAATCCAAATCAAAGGTGAGTCGCCATGAAAAAGTAAAGGATATCCTGGATTTGAGTTTGAATGAGTGATATATCTACTCCATTGAGAAAGCCAGAACAACTGGAAAAGGCTTGACATGAATTCCAACTTTTTTAAAAAAAAAATTATATTCAAACTTCTTATACCTTGCTTTTGGATTCTCGTGTATAAATTATTAAATCAATTCTTCTGATTTTCGTTGAAAAACAAATCGGAGTTGATTGATATGGTGATTCGAAAACTAAACAGAAACCAAAGGTCTATTTCTGTCGATGTAATGTATTTTAATCAAATATATTATGTATTTAAATACATAAATTACTATTATATATTATATATATGCATTACATAGTATGTATTGTTCAAACAGTACAACATAGAGAATACTTCTTCAAAATGAAGTTTGTATTATTCAATATAATGAATTACCTTTTAGTTGAAGATGGCCATCAACATCTTAAAATATTCAGTCTTTCAGTAAAGAATTTGGAAAGCCAATAAACTGACCAAAATGGCAATATTAAACACTATTCAATAATTATTAAAGATACACAGTTGAAAATGACACCTTATTCCACTATTTTCAGTCTTAGTAACTTAAAATATAAGGTGACAAATTATCAAAATATCCAGTTACTCCTAATAATGCTCAGAGATAAGATGTTATGGTATGAAATAATCTAATCTGATCAAGTACTTTAAAATACGTAGTGTGCTTCTACAGCACCTACAATGGTTTATATACTTATTGCAACAAGCTGTTATCCAAAAATCAAAAAGCAGAACAATTCCAGAGTTGTGAAGTTTATAAGGCTTTACCCCTCGCTACTGTTCTTGATCCTAATATTTAAAATAATATTCATTCAGTTAAATAAATAAATAAATATATATAT